AACTCAAAATATTTTATGATTTTAACATTCTCAGCTTTTACAACACTTTACTGGTGACTAGAAATACAGGTAAGGTACAAGCTGCTGAGTATCTATTTATATATTTTCTTTTTGTGCTGCCAGGTGGGTTTGTGTTTTTTAATTAACTGTTGACTTTTTTTCCTTTGCAAGTCTGTAATGGATACTTGTCTGGAAAATACAACTCTGTGAGAAAAACACAGAATTGTATTTCTTCTTGAGGAAAAAACATATTCGTTTTTAAAGCCCAGTTAAGCTGGAGGCTTTCTGAGTAAATTTGGCTTCTGGTTTACTGTATTAAGAACATTTTTAACAGAATCGCATTTGTTTGAGAGCAACATTTCATTTGGGACTGACTTTCACTCAGAACATGGTGTAACTTTATCAAAGAAAGGCCGTAAGAGCTGCCTCCTAAACTCAGCAGACTTTACTGCTTCATGCTCGGTGTGATTTGATGTCATGGCAGGCTGCTCCTGGGTCCCCTCAGCTGTGTCCTTGGCACTGTGCTCTTCCTGAGATGCTGGGCTGGGGCGGTGGCATGGTACAACTGCAGTGCTTGCTGCATGAAATGGCATTTGTTGATAGGAGCTGTTGTTTGGAACGGAAGAAGGCAGCATTCCTTGGCATTTCACTTGGATTTCGAGTGTGCATTCAAGCCCATGGTAGCCTCCAAAAGATTAATAAGCAAGGTGGGAATGAAAAATTCATTGTGTTGCTGTTTGAGGTTACAGAAGCTACCATGTCTCAGCCTGCTCCCTTCCAGGAGGGATTTTTACTGCTGCTTCTATTAATGTTTGATGGTAGGATGGTATCCTTGGAAGGAATGTTAACAGTCCCAGGAGGAATTATAATTTTGTTTGATAATGACCAGATGTAGAAACTGCTTCATGCTTGTGACATACCAGTACTCTCACTTTTTATGCATACATTTTCTAGAATTAGAGATGGTAGTACAGTTTTGTACTACAGTTTTGTACTGTTTGTGTAAGAACACAAATAGTGCTTTTCATGTATATCAAAGCTGTCCCTAGAAGTTCACATCAATAATTTCTTGGAGTTAGTTAAAAACACATCTCCTTATGCCCTGTTTCCTTCTGGATTTGTAGACTTTGTTTCTGAAAACATTAAGATGACCTCTGGCATAATTAAAAGGAATGATTAAATTACAAATAATTTATCATTGCTATTAAAATTTAAAAACAATCTGAATTAAAATCCACTTAAAACCTTACTTGAAGCATGGGACATAATTTTTTTCCTTGAGTGATAACTTCAGAGTTCTTTTGATCTTTCTTATGTTTTTTGTTGTTTGTTTTATGTGTGTGAATTTATTTAGAAAGCCTCCATTTAAGGCTGCCTCTGGTTCAAAGAGCTCAGTGTTAGAAGGCACCTGTCTAATTAAGCTAAATTTGCATTTGAGAAAAAAGAGCATGCGAGAATTCAGCTCGTAAAGCAGACACCATTTGAACAAATGAGAAAGAGTTCCAAATAGCTGAGACTTTCAGCAATTAACAACTGCTGTAAGAAATTTGTATATAGAGATTCAGATTTTTAACTGCACAAAGCCTTGCCCAGGAGCATAAAAGCATAAAAGCTTTTGCCCTTTCAGCAATTAACAACTGCTGTAAGAAATTTGTATATAGAGATTCAGAATTTTAACTCCACAGAACCTTGTGAGCCTTGCCCAGCAGCATAAAAGCTTTTGCTTTTAGGAGTTGGAGAGATGGACCCACGCTCACTAGTAGATTTTTGTAAAGCTCCCATTTCTTAGGAAGCTTACAGTGTAATTTTTCTGATGCTTACCCTCCCCCTTGCTTCCTCTTTTTTTCAGATTGAAATTCCCTGTAGAACCTCTGTGGCTATGGCAAAAGGTTCATATAAACTCGAATATAGTTTATTCCATATTTTATTCGATACATGAAGAAGTCATTTGACCTAATTTTAATTGCATTTTCTGTTAGCAAAAAAATGTGTTTGGTTGTGTTCATCTGAAAATCTCAAAGGGGAGTTTTGTTTTCCCCTCAGATTGAGGTAGTTCTTGGTTTAATCTGACAAATTTCTGTCTCCCAAGTTTTTTTCCATTGGATGCAGTGATTTTCTTCTGAAATGATGCTTTCCTAGGTAGGAGAATCAGGTGAAGGTTTTTTTTTAGCCACTTTCAAGGTAAAGCTTTGTTTGCCTACAAGTAGTCCCCATGAGTGCAGTACAGTGTTCATAGAGAGGGATTCCTGCTGTTGTGTGTCTGTTCCCCATGGGAACAGGAGGTTTTCCTCAGGTAGCATTCTTCTATATGCCTGCAAGCATTCTTATCCATTACTTCATAATGAAAGCATCTTTTTTTGTCTATGAGGGTTTCAGATAAAGAGGCCTCAAGTCTCTTTTGGTTTTTAGTAATAGAAATCATTCATTTGTTGAGGAAAAGAAGGGAATGTCTGAAGATGGAGTGACTGCACGAGGACAGACCCAAGGTGCACCTGCATTGCCTCTGGCCAGGAGCAGAGCCAGCAGCTCCTGGGAGGAGGGCAGGGTTGTGCCCCCGTCTGCTCAGTGCTGTTCCACATCCCAGGCTGCTGGGCTTCACGAGTCAGAGGCAGTCCTGGCTTAGCTAACATCAGGCAGATTTTCTTCCATGAGTTTTTTTGAGCCCTGTTTGAACTTAACTAGCTTCTCTTATTCATGATACCTGAGGGAAAAAAGTTTGCTTTAGTTTTTACCATCGTATTGTATAAGGTTTTTTTTTTAAATTTTAATTTTTTTGTTATTATTATTTAAATTTTTTTTTTTTATTTTTATTTTTTTTATTATTATTTAAATTTTTTTTTTTTAGTTTTCAGTCAACTTGGCTCAGTTTGTGTGGGATGAGGCAGTGGACAGCCATTTCCTATTTGCCATCTCTGTATCACTCAAGATTTTGTAGCACTCTGCTGTCTTGTTTTCTCGGCTGAAGAGTTCTGGTCTGTTCACATGCTTCCCATATGGAAGGCATTTTGTGATTTTAATCACTCTCACTGCTCTTGTTTTACATTTTCCAGAATGGAAGAATAGCAAATGACCCCACAACATCAACAACAACAAAAAAATGAATGGAATTTTCTCATAGTGTAATATTCTCAGCATTTCAAGGTTTGATTGTTAAGGAGATTGCTTTTAGTGTTGTCTGTTACCCAGTGGGACCATGGAGCAACATGTTCATGAGGGAGAACAGTAAAATTAAATTGTCAGAAATGTTGTGTTTCATAACAGTGGGCAGTTGATTTTTTGTAAGATTCCATGCAGGGTTTTGACGCATTTTGCTTCAAGTTCACTGTAGAGGAGAAATACTTGAGCTTTTCTTTTGTATTTTACTAAGTATTCCCTCTAAGAGCAGTTTAAAAATAGGATTTAATTGTATTTTGATTGGACTTTGCTGTAAATTTACTTTTGTCCATGGAAAAGGCAGTAATTAAAAGACAAAAAATACTGGCTAGTGTTTGCTAATTGTCTGTAGTGTTTCTTTCAATACAATTATAAGGTTTGTCATTGTAGCCTGTGGAGATGGTCACTTCTCTGCATACCTGCTGACAAAATAGTTTAGAAATGGCATGTCATCTTCTATTAATTAAGTGTTTATGCATGGTGATGAACAACTAATAGTGGTAGACCACAGAGTACCAAGTGATTACTTTAGAAAAAAGAAAAACAGGTTTAATATTTATCGCTGCATGCATGTGTTACCTGATGCATATCATTGCATAGCATATCATCATTACTATTGTATATCATTATATAGCATTTTTAGGAATAAGAAAGACTAATAACTTGAAATAATGATTGTTGAATAACTTTAGGTTGTAATAGTATTTGACAGTTCTATTTCTGAAAAGGAAGTGGAGATTATGAATGTGTTTGTGACTCACAGGTTTCTCAATGGTTGGGTTTTTTAATGCCAACAATATTTTAAAGGCTACTCAAAAGAAAAATAATTTACATTTAGCAGTCTGTACTGAAAAAAATGAAATCTAAACAGAACAAACTGTATATTCATGCCCTAAATTGCAAATGAGGGTGGTGTTGGAGCATTCATCATTGCTTATCTCTGCAGTTCAATAAAAGGCCACTAAGAAATAGCAAAACTGGAGTTCTGTCATTGATGTCCTTCCTACCACTGTGAAACCATGAATTTGCAGAAGAGCAGGATTGGGGATGCCAGGATGAGTTACTCAGCCTGTAGGCAGAATTTAAGCCATCAAGTGAAGTGTTGAAGACTTGATCTTTACATATATCCTAGAAAAGTAAAAGTGAAAAAACCAAAGAACGATGGGAATCTCTTGCTAAGAATTCTAAACTAGAGGAGAAAATTGCCAAAAATGCAGAATTGGCAGTCAGACTGATGTAACTCATCTCTCTGTACTAATATTTGATTGCTCCAGAAGATGGGAGCAAAGCTAAATGGGTAAACCCAAGATCTGCCTCAGTTTAAAGCACTGTTTTGTTATTTGCCAACAAAAATCATAAATAACTCCAGAAGGAAATACAGTCACATCTTTCCTTCTTCCTGGTGTCCACAAAGGACAGTAAGAAAACACTTCTGAATATAAAAATCAACTGGGATTGAAGACAGGAAAAATAAACCAAACTTTTCAAACCAAAAGCAAATACAGTAGCTTGAGGACTCAGAAGGACCATGTTTTCTTAGCCTATTTCAATGAATTTTTGACCTTACCACCACACTGCATTTCTCTGCCCTACCCTGGAATTTCAGTGGTTGTGCCATTTCATGTGACCAAAATAGTAACATGGACACTTGTGGTCAGAGTGAAGTAAGATGATGGTACCATCCAAAATAAGGAGTGCAGGCACTGATGGATGTGCCTGTGTTCCTGGCACCCTTTCAGAAGTACAGGCTGTTTCACTATGCAATCCTCTTCTTGCTTGTAGAATCATTTAGGCTGGAAAAGACTTTTAGGGCCATCAAGTCTAACCATTAGTTTTTTTATTTTTAGGTGTTCCTAGTCCTTGATCTGTGTATCCAAAATGGTCCTGTGCCCAACTGATGAAGTTTCAGGGTTTGTAATGTAGGTCCTTTTGTGATGGTTTGTTGGGTTTAAGCTTCAGATCAGGTGTAGGAGCTGTCACTGTCACTGGGAGCTTGCTGGCACCATGAAACCAGGAGGGTCAGAAATCCGGTTTGTAGTAGTATTAGCTGGTCAGAGAATGTGCTGAACCTTCCATTTGTAGTTTACTGTCCTCTGACTGTACCAGACAAAGACATCTGTTGGGAGCCAAAAATGAAAGAGAGAAGCAAACAACCAACATAATTTTAAGCAGGAACACCTGCAAATTTATTTATTTTTTAATCCTACAAATGTATTCCTTCTCTCTCTTCTGTCTAGTTGCATGTGGTTAAAAATGATCTAAATTCATTTACTTCATTAGATTTCTCATAATAACTTAAATCATTGATCGATTAGTTCAAAACACCCCTTTTTAAATCTGACCATTTATTGACTGAAGAACTTTATTATCTGAAAGGGGTAGCAGGCAGATAAATTTAGTATGCAATGCAGCTTGCAGTAACGTCCTTTTAAGCAAAGGCATCATAGCAGCTGCTGTGCAGGTGGTGAGTGTTGCCAGTGGTATTTGTTTCTGACCAACCATGTTCTCTTTGGCACCAAATACTCTGTCTGTCTTGAACAATGGCAGTGTCTTAAAAGGAAAAGGAATTATGAGGAAGATGACTTAGAAGTGGGATAAACATAAGTTCAGTTTTTACTCATGATGAAGTATTTTGATCTTAATTCTAGGTGATGAAATATCAGCCAATTACAGATTTATCTCTTTTATTATATGAAGGACAAAATACTGGTTAATTTGAAGTAGATGTAAATGTAAGTTGTAGCAGCTTTTGATGGCACAAATGCTTAAGTTACTTTGCAAATGTATTTGGAAAGTATATACTTTTTATTTTCAAGAGGTATGAATACAAAAAATAACAGCATCAACCTGTTTGGGGAAGGCTTTCTTAATTATATGACAGGGAAGTCATGTCACTTCAAGCCTTAAGTCTGTTGCAAATACTCAGTTTTGAAATGTGAGTAATTCTTAGTAACCAAGTACAGCTTTTATTGCAACAGGATATAAAATATATTTCACTTTGGTTGTTTTTTTAAAGAAATAGGAGCTGCAAGACAAAAAAAAAACCCCAAACCAACCCCAACTCTTGCCTGGTGGTGTCAGACTTCGGTGATTTGTTTTGGTTTCTTTTAAAATTAATTAGTGCATGTTAAAGCATATGACAAGCCCTGGGATGAGCATCGTAGACTACCTAGGAAGATGAGGTTTTTTCTCTTACTTTCTAGTAGGTGTTTTCAGTATTTTGTATACTGATACAGCTTTCCATAGTGTTGGCAGCCGCTGCAGGTGCAGATGTGCATTAAGGTTCTGGTCTCTAGATTGTTTCTTGCTTTGTGTAACTGAGATCTTTCCTCCTTCAGCTAGCAGGCAGGAGCTTTAGAATAACTTTAGAATAACTTCGGTATTCTTTGCAAAAGTGCTTTTTCTCAGTTGTGCTCAGGAAGTTGGGTCTAATGTCTCATTTGCTCCTGAGGAATTTCAGAAGCTCGCCTGTATGTGATTTTATATTTCATGTGTGTTTTGAAAGCTCTTTCACGTGAGAGCTGCTCTTGCTTTGGCCGGGTTCCTCTGTGCACCCGGTGTCCCACAGGGGATACGAGACAGTGAGAATGTTTTCTCACGGTCCCTGGAGGGCTGGGCACCCCGGTGAGGTGGCACTTTGCTCAGTGTGCTCTCCGTGCCCTTTGCAGGCCAGAGCCTCAGCAGAAAGCTCCCTCCGCTCCCCCGCCGCCGCCGCCGCCGCCGCCGCCGCCCCTGCCGGAGCCCGCGCCGCCCGAGCCCGAGGAGGAGATTCTGGGCTCCGACGATGAGGAGCAGGAGGATCCCGCGGATTACTGCAAAGGTGGGTGCGGATTACTGCAGAGGTGGGTGCAGATTACTGCAAAGGTGGGTGCACATTACTGCAAAGGTGGGTGCAGTTCAGCCTGTCAGGCTAAACTCTGCGTGCCAGGCTTAGCTCTGGTTCATGAGGGAATTTTAAAGAGCTGATCTTTAGTTATGGAATTTGCTTATATAAGAATTAGGAACAGCTCTTCATTTCAGGTCCTGATGCATAATTGTCTTCAGCATTTATTTTTCACTTAGCCATAGCTTGTTTATAAATTTGTCAATAAATATACAAGTATGGCATCCCTGTATTCTTCCTGATATCCCGATTATAAGAATAGAGAATAAACTTCCCTTGATTCATGTGAGTTGTAAGAGAACAAAAACACCCAAACCAAGACAAACAACTCTTCTTGCACTCCAAATTGTTCTAAAATGCTTTGGTGCCTTTAAGAGCTTTACATGAGTTGTAAGAGAACAAAAACACCCAAACCAAGACAAACAACTCTTCTTGCACTCCAAAGTGTCTTTGGTGCCTTTAAGAGCATTACGTAAATTTGTTTTTTAAACTGTATCCTTTCTTTTCCCTTTTTTCTCTCACTTGCACTATCCTAAGATGTTACATGTTTCTTTTCCACTTGGTGTCTTTTGCAGCTCTCAGCATTTTTCTGAGGCTCTCTACATCTTCATTTTAACTCAATTTCCTTAATTTTTGTATTGTTTGTATACAGGTTTTAAATATGGTTAAATGCATAAAAGCGTGACTGTGGTACAACAGTGTCAATAGTTAAATTTATTTTAGTGTCACTGCTAAAGTTGCAAGTCTGTTCCTATTAGGGTAGAATGTACACTGTACTTACATGAAAAATAAAACTTCTGTCAACTCTGGGTTACTGTTGTAGTAGATTTCAAGAAACTTACATCAGAATTTTATCTCTTCAATATTTTTGAATAGTCAAAAGGCACTCTATGCACACTGACTGTATCTGGTATTCTGCATTCCTCATACCAAGGATCACTTCCTGTGTCAAATGTGATAATGTCTTCTTAATCAGAAGTTTCTGTATAACCTGGAAATGTGCTATTTCAAGGATTCCCCTTCCTAGCCTGGGAAGGTGTTTCATGTTTACATATTTAACAATGGAAAGTGACTATTTCATTTTGGTGTAAGAAGTTTTATTAATATATTATATTTCAAATGTATAAGTGGCTTACAAATAGTGAAAATAGTGAATAATAGTGAAATAGCTAATAGTGAAAGCCAAACAATAACCTCAAACTAGATGTCAAAGTCTGCAGCAGAGAAGAGAAAAATGTGTTGCTGAACCATGCTCAAGTGTTTTGGTTTGGTTTTTTATTATTTGTTTTAGAACACATTTGTTCTGTAAGATAACTCTTTTTTGGTGTCTTTAATATGTTCCATGAATAGTTGTTTTGTTTAAATGTTTTGTTTAAACATCTGTATTTCCTTGAGATTAAGCATTTCAAAGCTCTGACTTTATTCTTTCCTGAAGTAAGGGCTGCATTTAATTTTAAACAGTCCATTGTTGTCTGTATCCCTTGTAAAATGTCACCATCTGCAGAAGCTAGATCACAAAACAAAAAAATAGTCTAAGTTGAGAGCCTGCTTATGAGTTACCTGTTTAACTAGAGCAGGTCAGTAGTGAGATCTGTACACTTTTGGAATAACCTACATTACACTAAGCATACTTGTAGGCTTCTTGAAAAATTAAAGGGAACTTCTGTGTGCATAAAGGTTCTTCAGAATTCTTCTGATCCTGGGCTTTGAATTTTTTAAAGTACATTAAGGATGGTTCAAGCTTTGGTTCATTTGGATGTCATGATCATTACTTGTGATCTGTGCTTTTTGAGAGCAGTGGTTTTGTTGCTTCAGTAGAGGATTTGCTTATTTTCTGACCCTAATTTCCTGTAAGACTGAGCAGTGCATTTCCTTGTTTCAGTCTGCTGGCGTGGAACTGAAGGGAGGATCTCCATAAGGATCTCAATTCCATCACCACTTTGGGATTTGTTTATATATTTTATGTTCTGTATAGGGAGTGATTAAGTTATTTGGTCAAGAACTCCAGAATGGCTTTTAGATGCATTTTCCATTTTTTTAACAGATGTGTTATTAGTTTGAATATCTTTTTCTGTTTTGGGTCGTGAGTGGAAGATAAAGATTTGGAAATTATCATTTATTACTGGAGTGCCTCTTTTACTCCTAATTTTGTCTTCAAAATGGCAGTCTTCCAGAGCCCCAGAGCATACTTCATCTCTTCTCAACCCCAGTCTGAAATTTTATAGGAAGAGAATTTTGATGATGAGTATATAACTATTTTTTTTCAGGAATTCAGCATATGGCCTGTTAGCTGTACTTCCTGTTGATTATTTTTGTTATAATTTTTATTTTTAGGGGTATATTAATGTGTGCTGGGCTTGCATCTTGACCACATTATATGGTGATTAGTAAATAGTCATAGTAATGCTTTTTAATGAGGAAATAGGATCAGTTTGTATTAGCACCTGATGTGAAAGAGACTGACTAGCAGCCATCTGTGAAAAGCAGACTGACTTCCGTTCCCTGGGGGCTTCCTCCAGGGCCTGTTTAAATCTGTGACATTACTTCTGTTTGTGTTACTGAATTTGCATAAAATGCTTTTCAAATATTTATTTGAAGGAATGGAAATATCAAATGTCCAACTGCATGATTTTTTGAGGGGTACTTTATAAAGCTAATTTTTCTTCTCTGAAAAGCCTTAAAACACTTGGTGATTTTTTTTTTTTTGCAAGAGTTGTGTCATGGATGTAATTGGAATTTTTTGCTTCTCTGATCATCTTCTCTGCCCCCTGGAGATGTCTCCCATTCATCCAGTTCACAAAGGGAATAATTCCCTATACAAACATAGAAGGAGCCAGCTACAATTACCAATACATTCAGGAGACATTCAGGAATAATGACCTCATTTTTCTGACCCTCCTTCTTGCATGCATGTAGCTAGTTAGCTGTGAGAGACACTTTTTTTCCCTGTGTGTGTGCTGCAGTACAACAGGGCTGGGCATGCATGTAGCTAGTTAGCTGTGAGAGACACTTTTTTTCCCTGTGTGTGCTGCAGTACAACGGGGCTGGTTTTTTTTTTTTGTTATGTTATCAGCAGTGCCACTTAGACATTGCATATTTTCAAATGCCAGTATTGTTTTTCCAAAAACACATAATTTTTATCAGCTTGTTAATTTTGCATAGATGCTTTCTTGTTACTAATACTTAGAAATACTTCTGCTGTCATGGAGAACTTAAGTGGTTACATTCATCGTAGGATAACACCAGTTTTTGATATACACATAATTTAAGTAGGTTGTTACCTGGTTGTCCACAACCTGTAAATGCATATGTTGCTGATAGGAATAATCAGACAATGTACAGGAATGGAATGATAACAGATTATTTCCAAAACTGCTCCTGCTGTGACTTAGGACAGTGGAAAGTATCTTGTGAAATATAAATACTCATGTGCTATATATGCTCCCACTGTTGGCATCTGTCACATATGCTGGTGTATTGTTACAATTAGTTATGACAGTGGTGTAGGGATCAAAACAACATGATTTTTACACATACAGTGTTGTTATGCTACCAGCACATAGAGTTTACTAAATTAAATGACCAAGCCCCAGTTTATTAACTTTGGTGTCTTTGTCTGATTTCCTCTCTATGCTGTTTCCTTTTCTGTGATGGGAAGAAACCATCACAAATTTTTGATTATTTTTGACCCTTTGAAGCATAAGTATGCTAAAAGCTATTTGTAGAATCAGACTTAAAAGGCTCTTGTTTGCCTAAACTATTCCTAGAAGCATATTTTTATCTGCAATGGTGTGTTGTATGGAAGTCTCATATAAATTTAGCAGGTCATCAGATTTGTTTCACTTCACAAATGGATAACTTTTCAGTAATGGAAAGGTAGAATTCCTGTATGTTCTCTTAACTTTCCTCTTGCATCTATGACTTCATCCTCCTGCCTAGAATTTTGTGGGAAAAAAATTACCAAGTAATTAGATTGTTGTTTGTTTGTTTTAAACCAGTCAATAGCTGTCTTAAATAATGATTATATTTATCCGGATTGTTGAGTATCTCCATCAGCTGTTACTAGAAGGATGCTTAAATAGACAAAATCAAATTTAGTTTTGTTTCTAATTTTTGTATCAGTACCAATTCATGTATTTGCATTTATTCAGCAAAATTTCTGTAATGGAGAAGCTGCAATAGACTTGGGCTTCATTCTGATGCTGTTTCTGTTTGCAGATGGACAGTATGATAGTGAACTTTTACTCTCAGTAAGGTCCCCCCTTCTCTACTGGAGGGTAAATCCAGGCAGGTGTTCCAAAAGTGATCTGGGTTTTGATTTGGAAATACGGAGCTCCAGCTTGGCAGTGTGGGCATCCTTACTGAGGGTGGCACAACTCAGCAGTGGAAATGAAAGTATCATTTTGCTGTGCTGGGTGGGATGTCCTGGCAGCTTTCAGCAGCATTTCCTTCCCAGGGATGGGAGGGCTGGGGAGGTCTTCCCCAAGGAAAGGGTCAGCTTTTGGGGAAGCTGTGTCTGCTGTTTGCTAAGCCTGCAGTTACACTTTAGCACACATATATCAGAGCTGGGTGTGTTTTAAGAGTTTGCTGGACACACCAGCATCTAGCACAATATGTCATTTAAGCTTTATCCTTCTCCTGAGTATGTAATCGTTACAATTCTGTAGCACAGTTGGGTTAAATTCATTATTCTGCTCTGGCAGCATAGGAGAGTTCATAAAAGAACTGTTGAACTTCTGTTAAGGCAGAAGATGTTATTAGCAAAAAGAGAATAAAAATATATCCAGATTTGACATCATTGTTCCCACAGATAAGAGGAGATAAGAGAGAAGCTTCTGTTTTAAATTCAAGGAATTAAGTTATAAATTCACATTGTTATCTTAACCAGTTCTAACAAGATTTTCAGGGGATTCAAAACAGATCAAGAAACTTTCAGAAAGTAGTTGGAGGTTTTTCTGATTCTAAATTGATTAGTCAGTAACTCAGAATCCTACTACAGGACAGTTGGGCATGACATTGTGAAAGACCAGAAAGAGACAAAGAAGTGGTTCCTTGGAAGCTGCTCTGAGTCCTGGGAGGTTGCATGGTGCAGCTTTATTATTTGTTTGCAATTTGGGCAAAATTATGGATGTTATTGTTGGTGTGTTAAGGTCTGAATAAAAATCTTTTGTGTTCGTTGTCTTCCCTGTGTTTAACTAGAGGGAGATTGTCTCCCAAAATACAAAGGAAATAAAAGGCTTCATTACACCTTCTAGAAACCTGAGCTTCAGCTTGCTCTGTCCTGTTGGCCTTTCTGCCTAATGGGCTTGTGGAGAACCTGTGTAGTGGTTTACATTTGGACTGCAGACTTGAGCAATGAAAAAGCAGTTCAGACAAAGCCCAGAGCTGCCTGCTTTTTCTTCCTCCTCCTCACTGTAAAACCCTCAGATGTCAGAAAAATGCATTGCTGCTGTGGATCAGGAGCCAAGTAGAAGAGCATCAATGAAGTCTGCATTGTTCTCAACATTTTCTCAGGAAGTATTTTATTGCTGCTTTTATTACTCTAAAGCAAATGGGAATTAAAACAATCTCTGTTGAGATTCTGCAATCATCCAAAATATGTTGATTGGAGAGGCTTCAAATATGATAAAGAAATAATGTAGATCTTTTCTCTACTGTCTGTGAAGTGAAAGATAAGCCTGAGGAAATAGAGAACAGATGGTTATATTACCATAAATAAAAGCCATAAGAGAGAAGGGTGAATAAACTCTACAGCAGTTACAGGACATGAGTTTTTTCCCTCCAGGCCAAGCAAGGCAGAATTTTTACCATTAGAGTTTTCTTTTTATTTTCTATTAATAGTACAGGACAGTTTGAAGTGGAAAATTTATACTACTTTGAAAACCTGGGAATTCTTGTCTATTTTCTAAATATTCTTTGTTTCTACTTGTTTTTTCATGAAAGGAGGCTATCATCCAGTGAAAATTGGTGATCTTTTCAATGGCCGGTATCATGTTATCAGGAAGTTAGGATGGGGACACTTCTCTACAGTCTGGCTATGCTGGGATATGCAGTAAGGAAACTTTTTTTCCATATACTTAAACTTTTTTCTTAATACGTTACTTAATTTTGTTTGCAGTAACTTCTATTTTATGTGCATGATAAAGTTATGTAAATGTTTACTTATCTTTTTGTGCAGGAAGATACCTACAGTGTTTTTTTGCTCTCGATTAACAGTGTAGTTTATAAAAGCTCTCAGAAATAAATGTCATTCTATTTTCTTTGACTAATTAGCTTTTCTTATTGAATTTGCATGTTGTCTTGAGCCTGCAAGAATAAGCTTATATTTTTATTTCTTTTGTATCTTTAATGAAAAAATGTAATTACCTTCATTAAATGCTAAAATGTGTAAGCAGATTCCTCTTTTAGAGACATTATTATCAAGGATGATACTAAATACTCACCAAGTTACACTGTTAACAGGGTATTGTTAAAAGTTGTCGTTAAGTGTAATTTCAGCATTTTTTGTATGAATGCAATAGATTGTGACATATTCTAGTTAAAATTTCTCAACTTCAAAGTATGTTTGTTTTAGCTCACTGTGCATGTTGAAAATGTTTCTCTTCTTTTCAAGGGGAAAAAGGTTTGTTGCAATGAAAGTTGTAAAAAGTGCCCAGCATTATACGGAGACAGCCTTGGATGAGATAAAGTTGCTCAAATGTGTAAGTTTCACTATTGCAATACAGTGTTCAATAACAATAACAACAGTAATAGTGAATTAAAAAAACATAGAGAATTGATTTTAGACTCTTGGTTTTTTTACATATTGTCCTCTAAACATGTGGCTTATTATGACTTAACATGTTTTTTGAAGCCCCAAAATGCTTAGGTTTGTGTGGGAATCTAACTAGATGGTATTTTAAAGTGATTTTTTTTCCTAAAATGTCAATGTTTGCATTTTTGGTTTAGGTTCGTGAAAGTGACCCTAATGATCCCAACAAGGATATGGTTGTACAGCTAATTGATGACTTCAAAATTTCTGGAATGAATGGAATTCGTATCCTTTTGAGAACATGGCATTCTTTTTAAAGATATTTCAGTCTACTGAAATAAGTAAGCATTTAGTTCTGGCTTTTTTCTTCTAAATCTTACTTTACATATACAAAGTAGAAACACCAAAATGTATGTAGATGCTAAGAGAAGTGCAGTATGTGAGGCACTCTATGGAGTGAAAATAACTTAGTTTTTCTAAACACGTTGCAAAATTGCAAAAAAGAAGTCTTATGTATCCTTTCATGGTCTGGTAGAGCTAGAGGCGGATTGCTTAAAAAATAGAGTTTACTGAAAACATTTGTACTGCAGCTTACAAGAATTTTTTTTTTTTTTTCTAGACTGGTGAAGAGAAATTGTCAGTGTCATGAAAAAGCTGGTTTCTGTTTTCTTGTGAGAAGTGTGAGGTCATGGATGTGCTTCTCTTATTCATGTAATCATCTTTTGGCCAGGTGTTAACCTTGTTCTTGGCAAAGGTTGTAAAGCTTTGTCTTTGAAAGCTTTCTTTAAAAAAACAAAAGAGGGGTGGTGGAAAAAGAGAGATAAAGTAAAATACAACTGACTAATTCTCAGTGTAATTTTTGGGTCTGTGAATAAATTTGATTTTAGAGTCGAACTAAACTGAGTTCTCCTTGCTAATTGTATTAGGTGTTTTAGCAGCTTATTATATTACTGTGCTTCCATTTACTGTTACAGCTGGACTTATGTGTGTGCCTGTTGTGTTTTGGAGCCCTGTAGCAGACCTCATTGTTCATGGGTCTCATTGCCAGAGAGGCAGTTCCTGCTCTAGAGAGCCTGATTATACATTGATTTTGGTGCTGTGCCTTCAGCCCTCAGCAGATCAGATTAAGGTCCCTTTCACCAAATCCTATCTTCTAGGAGAGGAATGTAGGAGGTGACTGTCAGTAAATCTGAATGCTCACTAGAAAGCATCCTTCCAGACAGAAGTGTGCAAGCAGCTTTCATCCCATTCATCTGGCTCTTTGCATTAATTATGGATCCTTTGGGTATGTGGTGAGAATGAGAGTGTGGGGTCAAGTGTTCTCAGTTACAGACTAGTGTCTAATCTGCTTTACCTTTGCCCATTTTTATTTGTTTTCATTTGACTAGTACAACTGAAGAATAATTATTTTTAGAAAGCAAAAATTATGATTTACTGTTTTATTGTGAAACACTAATAGGAAATAAGGAATACAGTTATGCATTTGTAGCTGTACTAGAAGTAACTCTTATCTCTTTATCAGAGCAATTTCCCAATAATGTTCTTAAATTCTTGCTAAGATTTACGTTTATACCATTGTATTAAAGGTGAGGGCTGTTTCTAGGTGTGAAGAACAGATTTTGTTAGTGATAATACTTTGAAATTATATTCAAACTTACATCTTACTGCAATGTAGCACTTACACTGAGAAAGCAAAAAGAGACCATGTGCCAGTGAAAAATAAGGGGTCAGGTAGCTTTGTATTAGCAGATTAAAACTGGACAGCTGATGTTGATTTATTCTGTTTCAGTTTTGCCTTCACGTTGAAAACTGGCAGTACAGAAATTTTTATGTAGAAGGTAGATGTTCCTGCCTAACTGAAAAGTACATTTTCCAGAAAAGTGCCAGTATACAGGATGGACTGATACTGGACTCAATTTTAAATTGCACCTGGAAGTCTGTCGAAGTCCTGACTGCCAGCAAAAATATGATACCAAGTATGTTATGCATTGAGTTTTCCTGAGAACAGCTTGTGCATCCTGGGTTGTTTGGGCAGCAGTTGGTTGTGTTGTTTATTTCATCAGCTCCTTTTTAAATTCTAGGGAAAATAATCTTTGGTGTAGGTTCTCTTAGGATGGAGCAGGTAATTGATTTTAATGTTTTGGTGCTGTTTACTTTTTAAAATGCCCTATTAGTGTTGCATTAGTGTCACTGAGATGCACAGGTTGAGAGAAGTAGAGTAATTTGAGATCTTTTCCATGCTCTGCTGTTTCCAGCTTCCTTTGGGCAAGTCACTAAATATCTGTTGCTTGACTATGAAATAAAGCAACATATGTTTCATAGAGGCTTGATTATTGGTTATGGAATGCATTTAAAAGCTAAAACAAGACAGAAGAGAGGTGGGTGAGTCCTTTGGATGGCTAATACCACAAAATGTCGTGGAGCTTCCAAACAGGGAAAATTGTCAAGAACCATGTAACAGAGCTGGGATTGTGCAGAGCCATTGGCCTGCACTGAGTGACTGCAAACTGTCACTTCTCCAAGGAGGTAGTGTTTATATACAGAGGAGTTTTAATGATGTGTTATGCTGCACTAGGCTGATAATTTTTTACCTACTTGTTTATTTTGCAAAGATTGCAATTATGACTTTTTCATGAAATAACAGAATTCATGATCTTGGGCACTTTGGTGTTTTCAGTAAGTGTGAATTATTATGTTTGTTTGCAGTAGACATTTGTTAGAGCTGCAACAAATGTTCATTTCAATGTAGCATTTTTTAAATGAAAGATTCAGATAATCATATAAAGGAACAAGTGTTTTGAGAGACAAATGGAAAAAATAAAGGAGGAAACATTCCCACACAATCAGACGTTATGTATAAATGTATCTCCAAAGACTATAGAGTATTAATTAAATGTCATAGTGTCTAAATGCTGCCAGTCCAGAAGGAACTGAGATACATCCTGAAGTTTTCTGTGCTGGTACTAGAGCTTAACTATCTTTTATCTTTTGTCATATTTCTAAATGCTTGAGTAATGTGTATTTATAGATAGGTAGTTACAGGTAGGATTTGAGTCAAGAAAGAACAGCTCTCAGTACAACTGAGATACATCCTGAAGTTTTCTGTGCTGGTACTAGAGCTTAACTATCTTTTATCTTTTGTCATATTTCTAAATGCTTGAGTAATGTGTATTTATAGAGAGGTAGATAGTTGCAGGTAGGATTTGAGTCAGGAAAGAACAGCTCTCAGTAGTTAAACTTATCAGCTGATTCATGTTAGATTTACTCTCACTTTTGCTGCTGTGCTTAGTTTCCTCCTGTGAGACATCTCCTGTGCTGCTTTGAAGAGAATTTCACAAGAAGCATGTCTCCTAGGTGGACTTCAGGGTTTTTTTGTTGCAGGACTTTTTGGACCTTCTCCCCAGCCAGGTTATTGGTGCTGTAGGAGGATCCTGGGACTTGTAAGGCTGGTTTCCTACTAGTTAATGCAGAGCTTTTCCCAAACTCCTTGTTCTGGACAGTCTGGCTTAAGGTTAAGCTTTTTCAGATGAAGATAGTAAATCAGACAGCAGGCACATTTCTGCATACCTATGCCCAACAATGAGCCTGCTCTGTATCTTCTCTCCATTCCAGTTGTCTCTCCAGTATGGAGTGTCCCTTGAGTTTGTCCAAGTCCTCCCTGCAAAATGTTGCAATCTCTTTTTTTCAGGCAGATATCACTTTCTGCCTGCCTCTGCCATTCCTCTTACATCTTCCTTCTTGGTGCTCTCCCTTGCCTCTCAGCTGTTTACTTTGCTACATCCCTTTCTCTTGTGGCTACTGGCAGTGCTGAACATTTCTGTAAGTGCAAGGAATGTCAGGAATGTGCATTGGAGAGTGCAGCAGCAGTGGTCTGAAGGACTGTGGGCGGGTGTCCCATATTTCATTTCTGAATGTTGCAGTGTCCTGCCTTTTTGCAATCTGTGTTGCTGTAGCTTTGCAGCTTGGCTGCGTGGGCTCAGTTAATAAGCCCTGCAGAGCTCATGCACTCTGCTCATCCTTTGTGTTGGCTGTGTGCTCTGCTAGTGACCTGTGTTCCTTGTGGGGTGAAGTAACCAAGACTGTTTCCTCTTCTGGATGGGATGGAGTTCTGAGCACACCCAGTTGATGTGGGTGGGAAATGACTATTCAGTGTCTCCTCTTATATAGGAATTCAGGAACATGAAATGAGATGAACAGTTGGAAACAGTTGTGTTACTGTTCTTCACAGTGTGCTTTGACCAGTCTTGAGACCTTCTACTGTTGGTGTAACTTCAGTGCTCTGCTAGTGACCTGTGTTCCTTGTGGGGTGAAATAACCAAGACTGTTTCCTCTTCTGGATGGGATGGAGTTCTGAGCACACCCAGTTGATGTGGGTGGGAAATGACTATTCAGTGTCTCCTCTTATATAGGAATTCAGGAACATGAAATGAGATGAACAGTTGGAAACAGTTGTGTTACTGTTCTTCACAGTGTGCTTTGACCAGTCTTGAGACCTACTGTTGGTGTAACTTCAAGATAGAGGATGCAGATGTTAAAACTTGAGTTACCTTTATGTATATAAGTGGGTACTTGAGAAGAATGTGTATGATAAATTGACAGATAAGGTAAGTTGTCGGGACCCAGGACATCTCTGGATGCCCTGGATGTCTCAAAGCCCTGGCAGGGGCTTGGAGACCCTGGCAGGAAGCCAAAGACATCTGGAAATTCGACCTTAATTCATAGAGCAAATTGCCAACCTTATATGAAAAATTACAAGTCACAAAACTTTAAGTAGCATAGTAGTAGGAATCACAGGGTGAAGGGAAAAACTTTGGAGCACTGTACAGGGGGGTTTTGTATGTTGTACAGGGGGGTTTGAAATTCTGTACATGAGGGTCAGGGGTTCTAAGATGGAGGAATTTGGGCATGCCCTGTCCTTCTTCTTTCTTCTCCTTGGCACTGGGGCAGAGACAAGTGACAGACGACCCCGGCAGTAAGTCTCATTTTAGCACAAGACAGTGACTCTTAAGATCATTGCCAAGACTAGTTAATAAAAGTCAGAGAAGTTAGGTAAGATTTCTGACAGTCTGGAAGTGGTCATCTATATGAATGGTCTCTTAACATAATCTGGTTAATTGACGTTTTCCTGCAGTATCCATCAATTAATCTTTGCTTATTTGTATTACATTGTTATTCACAAGGTTATAGCATCATGTAGTTAAGATTTTAACATCTTCTCTGATTTCCAGGTGTTTTAAGGTCATTCCCAGCTCATGTTTGAGGATTAATTGGATATAGTCTAATTGTGTAACTTCTTGTCAGAACGTTGTGGATGGTAAAACTTTAAATTAGCTTCAGTATCTGAAGATTTTCTCAATAGAAAGATAACCTACCAGGCATGTTGGTGTAGAATCTCTTAACTTAGAAAACCCTTTAAGCAGAAATCACAGGAAATTCCTACATCATGTTTTTTCCTAATCTCCCCAGATAATTTACTGTTTGCCTCTGTCAGGGGCCAATAGTAAAAGCTGTGTCAAATTAAACATTTAGGCATTATGTTTTTTGCATATTGCTTCTGAGTTCTGCATTTCTTTTTTTTTGAGAGTTGTTTGGTGATTGCCATTACTCTGCGGTTAAAACTGTAGGCTTTAAGAGATCCATTCTCATAGTATGTTAGTGTTTGTTGTCAAGTGACTATTGAGCTTAATAAAAAAACTGTTATTATGGTTCATTTTCTAAAACGTGGCTGCTGCACACTTTTGTTACTACAACCTTTTGTTCATATAATTTAAAATTTATTAAAAATTAGAGATCACAGGCAAAATCAGTACTTACAGTTGTCTCAAAGAAAAGAAAAACTAGTTTTTTACTTTTTACAATTGCTTTCTTAATTATTCACCCTAAGGCTGTTGTTAACATGTCAAAGTTACAAACAAGATTTGTGTAATTAAAATACTTTATTTTCATTTGCTCTGCAGTTGGACACTGGTTCTGTATGGGTTTATATATAATTGAAACAAGGTACCAAAGCATTTACCATACTCATTTTAGGGGGAATCATTTTCCCTCTAAAGGTGGTGATGACTCCTTTAGCCAGAACACAAACATTTGTGTTGATCTCATGCACAAGTTTATTTGGAAGTTATCCTTAATTAAATTACAGATGTCTGCATGGTCTTTGAAGTACTTGGACATCATCTTCTAAAATGGATAATCAAGTCCAATTATCAAGGCCTTCCCATCCGTTGTGTTAAAAGCATAATTCGACAGGTAAGTTTTGTTAATATTCTAATCAGGTTTTTCCACAATTGTTAACAGTTTGAAGGTTTGAATGATGATATTTGAACTGAACTCTTACTACTGTCTAAGATAATTTTACTTTAATCTCAGTGGGGTGAGATTGCACTGGTGTTACTGTGCATCAAACAATTTTGCTTCTTAAGCTTCTGTAATTCCATGCTGCAGTGGAAAATTATATGTTTATACTACTACTTGGTAATATATTTTTTCCAATTTCTGCATGTTTTGAGCATTGGGATAAAATCAGTCTTATTTTAAAATGCAGCTGAAATTTGAGTTTCTTAATAAATTTAGTTGCAGTTTCAAGCAGATTTTTAAAAAACCCCTTTGTAATTAGGTACTTCAGGGTCTAGATTACCTGCACAGCAAGTGCAAGATCATTCACACGGACATAAAGCCAGAGAACATCTTGATGTGTGTGGACGATGCCTACGTGCGCAGGATGGCAGCTGAAGCTACCGAGTGGCAGAAAGCTGGGGCTCCTCCCCCGTCTGGCTCAGCAGGTACGAACAGGATATTAAACTGCAGTGCAGGAAACAGCCATCAGTATATTATTGCTGTATTTTGTCCAGTGAGAATTCACTTGTAAAATAATGCCATACGAAAAATGCTTGTCTGTTTAATTCTTATTCCAGAATAATGATTTCATGGTGTTTTTGCATGTTCAAGTTTTCAGGGTCCCTAGAAACAGAAAAAGATTTATTGGTTTAAACTTACTCCCCTCCCATCCCACAGGCCTTAATGCCTGGGTTTTAGTCACACTGGATGCTTAATCTCTGATATTGACAACAGTTACTAATCTTACATAAATTATGTCTACTTCTGTTATAAGTTCACCAGCATCCTTGTGAAATCATCTGCCTTTTTAAAAGTCTGTTGTTACTTCTAAGATGCAATGAAAAGTTTTGCATTCATAATTTTTCACCCTTAAAAAAGGAATTTATGGTACCTAACTGAACTTGTGATAAGCCCATTTTCCTAGGAGCATAAAATGTTTTATGTTAAGCTTGCCAAGAGTTTTGATAGGAACTGTACCTTATGTTTAGCTAGGAGAAGCCAAAGTAAAGAAGTTCACAGCAATAAGCAAAAACCAACAAGGAGGAAGTGTGGCTTTTCTAGTGATTTTCTTCTTAGTACTATGCACTATATATTTTTAGTACTATGGTTGCTATTAATCTGCCAGTTGAGCACATCAGGCAGTGGAAAAGTAATTCCCTTTGTAATATTTTCAGAAAATATATCACAGATTAAAATCTGTGAGGTATGCTAAAAATACTTCCTATTTTGGGAACAAATACAGTGATCAGGATCCATTTCTCACAGCATTATATTTTTTTAGATGAAAAATTGTATAACTGGTGAATGTATGATATTGAGTTTGACATAATGTGTAATCACATAGCTAGAAATTTTATGTTATTTGTGTGGGAAATAACTTGATTTTGTTCATTCAGCCTTTATATTGCTTCCTGACATTAAAATAGTATTATTTTGAGGAATTACATTCTTGTCACATTTGGTTCTTAGCAAATTGTAATTAAATATATGGCTTTCCACACAGGAGCTGAGGATTTGTTTTCTTTACAGCATTACAAGAATAGGTTGTGTATAATTTCTCTTTTTATAACAATGATAGTGCTCAGGTTTAAGAATAATTTTGAAAACGTTGCCCTTTCAGGGGTATTCAAACAGGTTTTCCCCTGAGCTTAGCAGCAGGATCTGAACCTGTAAAATAACTCTGTATTTTATTTAGCATTCCTTAATTGCCATACGCCTGTGTATCTGAAGAAGTTTGTGAGAGGTTCTCCCCCATTCAGTTCCTCTTGCTCACTTTGCTTCTGTCTCCTGTATTTGGTTATTTCTGTTGGTTTGATCACAGGGGAGGTGTTTTGTGGCTCGTGGTGCTCTGTGAGTGTGGCAGTCAGCATTGCAATCCCATCAGAGCCCTCCCTGGTGGGATCCTGCTCAGGGGTGCTCATGCTGGAGCAGCTTTTTCTGTGATATGCTGTGTTTTTGGCCTCAGGCACTTCTTCATGCCTCCAGCCCTAGCAATCAAACTGCCTTGTTTCAGAGTGAAACACATGAGCATTTGGCTTTTCTGTTGGGTACAACACAGTAGTTGTATCTTTGCTAATATTCCCTGAACTATTTAGACCAGTCTATACCTGCTCTGCCAGCTGATGATACATTTAATCTGTGACAGCTCTGCAGTCATTCCATTATTTCCATCCACTCCTAATGGTTCAACCTTTTTGTTTTTAAATTTCATGAGCTCTCTGCCAAGCTCAGTGAGCACAGATAGCTGCTAGCTCCTTCCAATCCCAGATGCTCTAATGGAGACATCAAATTATTTCAGGCAGCATGTACTTGTAAAGAGTAAAAAATGTGGCTAACAGAGTAAACTTAACACTGCCTTATTTAATTAAGAATATTTTAAAATTATTTCTACTTGTTTTTGCTTTTATAGAGTTGTTTTTGAAAAAGACAAATTTTATTTACAATTTATTTTTTGTCTTTTTAGTGAGTACAGCTCCACAACAAAAGCCTGTAAGTATTGTTATATAATACAATTTAACTGCCTTATTTTCTGTGTTTCTCTGGCTATTAATATGTATTAGACTGTTAGTAGCCTCAACCCTTTTTAAAAGCTTCCTTTGAATAAAGCTTTTATCTTTCAAAGAACATTTTTCTTTTCATGTCTGTGGCCTTACCAGTTTTAAGCACAGTATTTCTGTGATGGAAATTCTCACAGACATACAGTTCTATAGCTATGTCAAACTAAGTTAAGCATTGTGTTTTCTTCTCTTGAGGAACAATCCATTCATCCAAATCCTGACAAAAATGGGAGAATGCACTAAATATTGTGCATTGCAAATATCTTAAGGGCATAAAGGCCTTAATCATCAAGGCCTGAAAGTTGAAGCAATTATATGAGGTTTGAAAGATCTCTTTGCCATGTGCATATAGGAAATAACCAATAGTAATACAATTGTTAAGAAATGTCTGTGGTTAAAGCTTCTTTCTGTGTGTACAGAGCATGTATAATTTCAATGGGTATACAACATGGATGAAAATTACTAGTTGTAATTTGTGAAATTTAATGTCTTATTTAGATGATCCCATGGCTTTTTATGAAAATAACAGGATTATAACAAATAAACCTTTGAGGAAGTATTTTTCTCTGTTCTTTGTACTTTATTTTTTGATTATATTATGATTTATTACTGTAATATTTAAACAATGAATGAAAATTGGATAGATCTCACTTATCAGACAGTAAAAATAGAAGACACAATTCAGTTAAAATGGAAGGAAGTGTTTAAATCCAAACTCTGATGTGTTCATTTTTAATTTCCTTGTTGTTGTATCTGAGTTTTGCAATCCTTATGTTATATAAAATGAGAAACTTCATAATGGCCATCTGCTGTTTGTAATTCATATGTTTTGGGCCAGAAGGGAGTAATAAAAATTCTTTCCTTTCACAAGAAAATAGCTGAACAACACAGGTTTTATTTAAAATTCACTGTTTTCAGTATCTTTAGTTTCTTGTGTTTTTTTGCTCAGAATACTTTTGCTGGTTATTTACCTACATTATACAGAGAGAAATAAGGTATTAAATTTATGTATAAACAGCTAATATGATACCTGGTTATTTTCCACATACAGTATCATCTGTTAATCTGGATTGAAGTTTAAGATTATTGTGTTTATCAAGGTTATAGGATCATAGGAATTTTATTATGGCATCTTGGATGTATAGATGTATTTTACTCTTGTATCTGTTAATCACCATGTAAAAACATGATTAACTGTGTAAAATTTTGGTGGATTTTTCCCTCATACAATTCTGTATCATTCTTGATTTGAAGTAAACTGGAAAAAGGAATATAATAACTAAATTAGTTGCCATCTAGTACTTTCAAAAAAATGGTGATCAAACTGTAAATTAGTTTGGTGTGAGATGCCTTGAAAATAAATAATTACTTTTTTTTGTAAAATTTTGGTGGATTTTTCCCTCATACTATCCTGTATCATTCTTGATTTGAAGTAAACTGGAAAAAGGAATATAATAACTAAATTAGTTGCCATCTAGTACTTTCAAATAATAAATAATTTTTTTTTTAATTTGGTATTAATGTTTAAGGTTGGAAAAATATCCAAAAACAAAAAGAAAAAACTGAAGAAAAAACAGAAGAGGCAAGCTGAGCTGCTAGAAAAACGCCTGCAGGAAATAGAAGAACTAGAGCGGGAAGCTGAAAGGAAAAAAATAGAAGAAAATGTAACCTCAGCTGTACCATCAAATGAACAAGAAGATGAGTACCACCCAGAGGTGAAACTAAAAACAGCTGATATAGAAGAGGTAGTAGATGAAGAACCTGGAAATGATGATGGTTAGTATTACCTGTTTTTATTGACCCTGAGTTTACTGTTTCAGAGCAGAAGGTAACTGTGCAGTGTTGCACCTGGTGCAGTGAACTCCAAACTGCCCTAGATCATTAAGTTAATTTTCTCCTGTAGGTAAAATTATAACTACAAAACCTAAAAAGGTAAAGAAAAATCCAGCTTACTACAGAAGTGAAGAAAACCATCAATAGCAGTGTATAGCTATAAACAATTCAAAAAAGCACAGAAAATCCAAGAGAACAGTCACCATGCCACATTAAGTGGAACAGCTGAGTATCCTGGTGAAATAGAAGAACAATAACATGCATTTTTCTATAATATTATTGTCGTAGTTGGAGTCATCATTGTTTTCCCTTTTTTTTCTTACAGTGTTTGTTGTAATAATCCATCAGGTGACAAAGATTGCAACTTCTTCATTAAAATTTTTGCTAATGTCTTGTTAAAATTCCTGTTCAGTCCTGGTGACTTGGACCATAATTGTTATGGTCCAGCTCCATTCTGGCTTCCCTGATTTTCTTGTCAGCTCTTCAGTCCTGATAAAGATGTAACTACTGAGACTGTAGTTCAGTTTGGTTTGTTTTAGGTCTGCTCTTACAGAGAGTTTTCCTACTTCTGTGATGACTCTGTTGACATAGATTGAATTCTGGATTTTTAAAAGCTTGCATTCAGGGCCTCATTCATCTTCCCTTCATAACATTATTCTCTTCTGGATTGTTCCGTCCTGAACCACTTCCCATTTTTTATTTTTCCAACAGTCTTACTAGTCCTTTCTTTTGCCTTTAATTTAGATTTTAAGGTTTGCATATTTCAGTGGTATTCAGTGTTTCCTGGTGTGATATGTCAGAAGTCAGGTAATTACTGAAGAATTAAAAATGATGAAATGCCTAATTTCAGTCTGGTTTATTGATGTGTGGTGTAATGTGTTGCTTGCTGAAATTTTTCAGGTGAAGCAGAAGATCAGGATGAAAAAGAAGACACAGAGAAGGAGAACACTGAAAAAGATGATGATGTTGAGCAGGAACTTGTCAACACTGACTCTACAGACCCTAAGTGGATAGAATCCCCCAAAACAAATGGCCATATTGTGAACGGCCCATTCCTATTGGAGCAGCAGATTGAAGATGAAGAAGAAGAAGAGGAAGAATGTCCAAATCCAGAGGAGTATAATCTTGATGATCCAAATACAAAAAGTGATTACTCTTATAGCAGCTCCTATGAACAGTTTAATGGTGAATTGCCAAATGGACGTCATAAAATTCCAGAGTCCCAGTTCTCTGAATTTTCAGCGTCGGTGTTCTCTGGGGCTCTGGAGTCTGTAGCCTGTGGTTCTGCTGTCTCTGAAGGATCAGCTGTAACTGAAAGGGAGGAGAGCAGCCCATCTCATGACAGGAGCAGAACGGTTTCAGCTTCCAGCACTGGGGATTTGCCAAAAAGTGAGTGTTCCTCTTAGTGGCTTTTGTCTAGTAGCATGGGTGTGCATTGTATTAAATAAAAGAGGCAGGTAAATGGACTACAGAGGCAGTGGTTAGGTTAAGAAAAGATTGTTTAAGTAAATTGGATGATTTTTTCTTGCAGAACTGTGATTTATGGGTTATTTTCCTCTCTAAAACTTCCTTTTAAGGGGTATTAGATAAATAAATTATCGTAGAATAAACAACATTTGCATTGACAAGTCAGTCTACACGTGAAGGAGAAAAGGAAATCTGTAATTGCAGATAAACATCATTCTGTAGTTTAAAGGTAGAAGATGAGTATGAGATCATTTAACCTGATGTCCTTTGATAACAAGTCAGTAATATACCATCTTTTAAGCCCAGTAACCTTTATTGTTGGCTTAAAGTGCATTTTTCAAAAAGAAAAATAATGTTCTTAAATGGACAAATGAAATTATAATCTGTTGTGATTTAAATGTGTTCCACTGCTTGCTACTGTGTATTGTTTTAGAAGAATTGTAACAAGTTTGAACTTGTCTGGCTGCAGCTTCTGTCTGTTACTTCTTGTCACATCTTTTCTCAGTCATATTGAAAAATTCTGTATTATGCTGTGTTTTCATTCATTAATTGTTCTTTCTGGGTTAAACAGTTCCAGTCTTAACCTTTTATTAATACTCAACAGGGCATGTTGCCAACCCTCAACTCATTATGGTGTTTCTATATTCAGCATGGTTTTGGACATTTCAATTCTGGCCATCAGTCCAGAACTTTTGCCTATAAATCCATTTGAAGACATGGAAGGTGAAAGCTTGGTGTCATTTCAAAGAGCTGGACTTTTGCCATTGAATTAAATAGCTTCAGATTATTACACATAGGTCTTATTTATAGTGCCAGTGGTTAAATGATAAATATATGGGTTTCAGCTTTAATAAAGAAAATACTGAGAGTCTAAATCTGTGAGCAGATAGAAGAAAATGGGAGTTTAGGGAGAAGATCACCAAGCCTGCCATCAGCATTGTCACAGGTGAATTAGAGCTGCATTGAAAAATGCAGTCAAGTGTATTTCTTGGTCTTAGACTTTAGAAGAGCAATTCACACAGGGTCTGACAGGTAAAGTAAGGTAAGAAATATGAAATAAAATTCAGCTCAGTAGAACTGCATTTCTGGAAGATCCAGGCAAATAAGGCTTTTAGTCCATCTCCTTACACTCTGAAGTCCCTGAAACAATACAGAGGAGGTTCCTGGATGCCTGGTGGTTTCTTCTTTTGCTCTGCCAGCTGTATATAGGCAGAAGGATTCCACTGGTGTTTTCCTGGGATGGTGTGTAAAATCCTCATGTTTTCAGAGATTACAGCTGCTTTTGTCCTCATGGAAACAGCTTACCTCCATAGCTGGAGAAAAACCCCTACTTTATTCCTCTTTGGTGTTATCCCATCAGTTCACACATCTTTCTTGCAAAGAAAGAAGACAGACAGTAAATTCAGTGATAGTTGACTTTGAAGAAAGGGGAAAAGCACAGATATTAATGGCATCAATAATAACATTAAGTATAACAGTCATAAAACAGATGAAGATATTTAGACAGAAGCATACAGGAACTAGAGGCTATTTAATATTTTTAAATGGTGCTACATAATTTTTCACCATATCTTTATTCTCCTTTTTTTGTACTGAAGTAGACCTTTATGTGTTGCTCTTTCTCTAGGCATTGCTATGCATTGTTAAGTGGCATGGCCTCATCTTATTTTTTTGGGGGTTCTTGCTTTATTTGGTGCACAAACCAGTTTGTGTTTGGTGGATGTGCAGTTCTTTAGCTTTTTCAAGTTTTCACTGCGTGACCAAATGCCCTGAAGATAGATCTGTAATTTCCTCACGATTCTCCTCCTCCTCTTTCCAGTGTTTGAATGTTTACCAAGTACATTGTCATGCAGAGATTGTGAGAATTAAGGTGATATTTCTTAGTTTTTATGGAACTAGGACACAGAAGTGTTCACTAATTTTGTGCACAGGTTAAACTTATTTGGATGCTTTTTTGTGAGTACTTTTTAGAAAATACACTTATTCTGACTTCACTTTCAGTTGTACATGAAATACAGAATCTAAGAATTCATCTTTCAGAAGAGACAGGACTTAAGCATCATGAGTTTTTAGAAGAACACAAAAGTGTAGGCACTTCCCTATTGCCTGCTCTTAGGAGAAGTTTGAAGAAAGCTGTTGCACAGTGCCATATTCAGATGTCTTAGTCATGGGGCTTTTTTCCCCACTTCATTTGACTTCATTTACTGCACTCCTTCAACAAGACGTGTGGGAAGGATTTATCCAGCATTGTCTTGGTTTTTGTTTTGTTGTTGGTTTTTTTTTTTTGGTTGTTGTTGTTGTTGTTTTTTTGGTTTTTTGGGTTTTTTTGCAAAGACTGCTGAACTGAGAAAGGTCCTGTTATTTCTTCACTAATGCATGTGATTGTGTTAAAAAAACTATGTACTATGCAGCATGTTTTTAAGGAAAGACTTTAGTACTGAGCTTACTAATCTTACTAGTTCCTATCTTTTGAACGTTTTGCTTCTGTCTTAATGTTGATGCTTTTTATAAACTTGAGTCTTGGAAATCCATTCCAGCATTTTTAGGGGGCTGTTTGTTGAGGTCACTGCCCCCTCTGCCTTTTGCTATTTACTCCTGTATTTTCATTCCCTCTCTCCTCTGGTGGACCCTGCCACTTTCTTTTCTGGTTGGCCAATATTCAGTGCTCTGATGACCCATTCAGGCTTCCTGTGCCAGCAGTTGAAGATCTCCATCTGATTTCAGATAGAAATCTTCACTCTAGTTCACCATTAGACATGCAGTATTTTTTGTCCTTGTCCCATGTCTGGTTTGTCATGGCGTGTTTTCCTCCTCCAAGTCTTTTACCAGTTTAGCAGATCACTGCAGCCACAAGTACTTTTTGGATCTAGTACCTCTTTCTTATCTTACCTTCAGTTTCCAATTTACACCTTGCAGCTTTGGGACAAGGAAAGAGAGACCAGTCCTGTGCTTCCCTGTGATTTGTGGTACCTGGTTCTGTCTTCTGCCTTCAAGTCATCTGCTTTCTTCCCAGTTTAGGAGTGAGCAGGTGGAATGTCAAAACAGAGAAAAGCAGCACCTCTACTGGTGCTGTTAAGGTTTCAGTCTCCCAAGAGCCTCTAAAGGTTGCAAGATTAATGAGATTAAAGTTCTGCCTTTTTAGTCTGGATCATAATTGATGCAAATAGGACCTTCAGAGAACTTTGAATGGTGATTTTTTTGGTGAAAAGGATGACAGTCCCCTAGGCTCTCAAATTGGCCAGGTTTTGGTGAGTCTTTTACCCCTTGGGATAGGTTTACAAAAAAAAAAAAAATCCAGCTAGATTTTATTTACTGTAGCCAGGAGGCATGGAAGTGCAGGATTTATTTTCTCAACCAAACTGTTCCAAGAACATATCTTTCATGTGTGTAGTGGGTGAGTTCTTGGAGTCTTGAGTTTTCACATTTTCTGTCTGAATCTGTTCTGGGAAACATATATGCTGGTTTTGCTTAGAAGCTCCTCTGGATATTGTAGTAGTAGTGATTTGGCAGCTAAAAAATGTGAAAAATTTGCACTTGAAATGTATAGGAATATTTAGAAATCGGAGTAAGATATCCTATTTATGTTGCTTTAATTTCTTGTAACATTCAGCAAATTATTTTCATACCTTCAGTGCTGAATGAAGTGTCAAGGCAAAACTGCTTAGAGATAATGAATAGTAGGCTTAACATACTAACTAGTCTGCATTTTGCTTGTGTTAGCAAAAACTCGTGCTGCTGACTTGCTGGTGAATCCACTGGACCCAAGAAATGCAGATAAAATTAGAGTTAAAATTGCTGACCTGGGGAATGCCTGCTGGGTGGTAAGTGTAACTACATCATTTTAGCTGTTCACTATTTAGAACAGGTCTTTTTATAGTCCTTTTTTCCCATTAATGTGGTTCTTTCTATTTTAGCACAAACACTTCACAGAAGACATCCAGACGAGACAGTACAGATCCATAGAGGTGTTAATAGGAGCAGGTTACAGTACACCTGCTGATATCTGGAGTACAGCATGTATGGTAAGAACAATGCAATGTGTATTTTACTAGAGTAAAGCTCCTAAAACCAGTTGTTTATTTAGTCAGGAAACCTGATGTGGATGGTTTTGACTTTTTGACACAAATGCATTATCATAAGTGATGCTGTATCAGATAGCTGCTGTTGATTTCTTCCCTTTCTTTCAATTTCTCCAGCCTTCTCAGTTAAAAGGAAATATTTTGTAGAGCACATCTGATTTTCATATGATGTATTTTAAACTTGTAGTCAGAAACATGCAAGTTGAGAGAGAAAATATATGTCTGTTCTGAAATGACAAAAGGTAACTGACAAAGTACAATTGCTTGTTTCATTCCAGTCTTAGAAGCTGGGCTACTGTTAGCTGTGATTGCATTCACTTGTGTAAAGTAGCAAAATAGTGAAATACTTTAAATTGCTGCCAAGTGCAATGAAAACAGATTGGATTAGACTTGGTTCTAAACTTTCAAGAGAAGGAACTCAGTTTATTGGCGTAAAATATGTGGTAACATTCTGTAGAATTGGTTTGAACACAACTGAAATGACAGCTTTTTAAGAGTCTTTAGAGAACAGAAAAAGTGAAAACTTAATCATGCAGCTTTCTGAAACACCCTAATATCTCTTTGAGGATGAACAAGCTGCATGCATCTTCTCATTTCAGATTGAAGATGTATATCCAAAAAAAACAAATTTAGAAATACCTTTGCCTATTTTAAAAGCTAAAACTTAATCAAATCTTTATATTTTACAAATACATGTCTGATAAGAGTAAGTGTGTGAGGAGGAGGAGGAGGAGAAGAGTCAAATACTAGACACAGTTTGCAGGCGTGGGTGATGAGAAGAATTACACAGCCCGGAGGGAGAGGAGGAGGAGGATTGAAAGGAACATAAAATCCTACAGATATTATAAGTTCAGCAAGCCATGTGTTGGAAGTAACTAACCCATAAGTGAAATTAAAGTATGTTTTCTCTGGTGTTTAATACTAGCTTTTTCCTTAGTACACAGCAAACCCCTCAATTTCCAAATTTACTTTTCTGTTTAGAGACAAAATGGAGAATTCTTCTGTTAAATTGAAAACAAAGCATTTAAAATATTCCACAGGTTTTTCTTTAACTCCTTAAGTTATTCTTCTCTTAACTAACTACAAAGTCATCATAGAGACTTTTTTCTTTTACCTAGTATTTTGTAGAAAGTATTTTGTATCAGTTGAACTTGATAACCTTTTATTTTATTGGATGTCCTGCATTCATCTTTAAGCTGTACCTGTTGCTGCTGATTTTATAGTCTTATATGGTCTTTTTGTCTTGTAGCTAAAGGCACATAAAGCAGGCTGAGGTCTACCTAGAACTGTATTTAAAGATAGTGGGGTACTAAATAGCAACATCACACCTAATGAATGTAATATTCTTGCAATACTTGGGCTTGCCCAGCCTATTACAACTTCTCCTCTGTATTATGTAAGTGTTACTTTCTTCAAACTCAGGGAAAGAAAAAGGCCTAAAGCATCACTCTCACTGGAGGTATCTTAACTCAGATTCACAATTATGTATGAAATTTCATTGTTTTAAAGAGAAAAATGTATTTCTGCTTTTTTGTTATGTAAGCCTTGCAGATAGTAAAGCTTTTCAGGCAGAAGTGCTGTAATTCTGTCTTCTGTCACAATCTTTAGGATTTTGCCTTTAAGAAGTGCGGTAGAAATTTTATAACATTACAGCATTTACATACATAATTGTTATCATGGTGTAGTTGTGTAAAAAATAGAGAGCAGCCTCTCAAGCTCATAGAAAAAAATAATAATTTGAAAACCCCTAGAATCTGTTTGCATTGCTGTGTGGCTGAGAAAATGGGTCAGAGCATTGGGGATGCTGATCCTGTATCAGATGCAAAACAGCTCTGAGGAAGGGATTGCCTTGAAGGCCTTAATAGCTCTTTCTGCAGAGGACTTGTAATAGAGATTAACAGCCAGGAAAGCATTCCTGATGTGGATCTGCTAACTCCCAAATTTATTTAGGCTGTCTTTGGAAATTATGATGTGAACCTCTACAGTCCCTAAGGCAGTCAGGAGCTGTGAAGTGCCGAAGTGTTTTCATGCCTCTACAGCCCCACTTACTTTCTCAAGTTTGGTTTCCTTGTTGTACCTCGATTTGGTTCAGAAAATGCCCTTCTGGGTTATCTTGCTCTTGTTTCATATTTAATTCACTCTGTTCCATGTTTGCTGTGTTTTCAAAGAGATTGTCTGCTGGAGCAGGTGGTGCTTATTTTCAGCCAGAATACAGCTTAGATACCCTGTAGCCTTGATGTCCAGGACTCCCAAAGGAGAGCAGAGGTGACTGCTTGTACAAGTCCTGAGTCATTAAGGGCATTTTTGGAAGCAGTACTGTGCAAAATGAGAGGTCCAGCAGTATTTCCATTACTTCTTCCTTGGCAAGTTTCCATCCATCCATACTTTACCTGATGAGACCACACCAAGCACACATGAACACTGCTTAGCTTGCAAAGTAGATTTTCCCCATGTATTTTGTATCCACTACTGTGTCAGATATTCTAGCTCATATCTCCATTTAAAAAATGGCAAAAAAAGGCCTTTCTTTGAACTTGGTGTCTGTCGGGTTTCTGTGTCACAGACTTATGTGTAGATAAAACTCACAAATCTTTACGTGTCCTGGATTATATAAAGGGTGACTTGGAATGCTTGGTACCAGGATTCACCTGGGGTCTTAACTTGGTCTTGTGCTTTATAGATCTGCATTTGAGCCTAAGGTTTTCACTGCCTTTTGCTTGCTAATAATCTTGCTCACCAAGGATAGCAGTGACCATGAGTAGCCCAGCTACTGGTTCTTGTATTGGCTTGTATTTATGGCATCAAGTGTGTAAAGCACAGAAGATTGTGCGACCATGAGTAGCCCAGCTACTGGTTCTTGTATTGGCTTGTATTTATGGCGTTGAGTGTTTAAAGCACAGAAGATTGTGTTTTATCTCAGTAGAATGTCTTTTTCCATCATACCATTTGCCTGTCCATTTTACACAATCTTTAATAATAAAGATGAGGATGAGGTTTTTAAACAAGGCCTCTGATAAACAGGCCCTACGCATGCAAAGCATCTGTGTTCCTGTGTGCACAGCAACCTCCAGAATATCCCCTTAGGAATCTTCTGGGACATAGTACATTGTGTCTGAATGGAGAGCATTCCTTACCTGGGCTCAGTTAGTTTGGCATGGCTTTGTCTAGCCTGGAGTGTGATGGTTTTGATGCAGCTTCCAGGAAAGAAAAATCCTGTTTTATTTGTATTGACTTCAGTATGGGACTAGCCAGTTTCTGATCAGGATGACTTGTGCTGGAAGTGCATGTAATCAGAGCCACGTAAGGGCTCTGCCCAAACAGCAAAAGAGGGCAAAATAACTCAGTGCTAATAGTCTTGCAGTGCTGTTTCTTTGGTGTTATATCTCAGTGAATTAGTAGCATTGCAAGCCAGTGGCCTGTGAGCTGAATCTTCTGATTTTAGATATTTTATCATGGCCCAGTTCTTGTGCCCCAAACTTCTTTGAATCAGGTTTGAAGGATGAATGTGAATAGCTTTAGACCAGTACCAATCCTCTGCTCAGGTGATCTGAGTTGCAGAGTTGCTCAGAAAAGGATAAAGAAAGGGAAGAAAGAAGATGATGCATATCGTTGGAGGCTTATAGAAGTGCTGTGAAAGAGGTTGGATGTGGGCTTCTCCAGACCACAGCAAAGAAAGGGAAGAAAGAAGATGATGCATATCTTTGGAGGTTTATAGAAGTGCTGTGAAAGAGGTTGGATGTCAGTGGGCTTTTGCAGACCACAGTGGAGTTGTTTGCTTGTTCAGTGCTTGGCAAAGAATTCCACAAATAACTTTTTTTCTCTAGACTTCGAGTTGTTTGCTTGTTCAGTGCTTGGCAAAGAATTCCACAAAGTGTAACTTTTTTTCTCTAGACTTTGGTGATCTTGGTTGGAATGATGCTGTCATTTGCTGGACATGCATAAGTTTGGTTGAGGAAGTTGTACATTGCCCATTTATTTTTCTTCTAACAATGTGGCCTGTTTATGTGGAATACTCCTGGAGAGCTAGACACTGGGAATCTCTCCACATTTACTAAATTCTAGATGTTCCTCTCTTCCTGTACTAAGCCCTAATTAAATTCTGCTAACAGGGAGGTGCATCTCTCATTTTCACCAAAAAAGAGAATAGATTTGGAGGCAGCAGTACCTTTGACAGGATTGAAAACATTCTTGGTGATTTAGTTGTATTGGTTTGAATTTCCACATTAACAGTATTGAGCAGGTTGCTTTCTTTAGAGCAGAAACTGAACAGACACTGAGTGATTTAGCATTTCCTAAATCCCAGAAAACACAGAACACAGTACTCCACTGCTGCTGCCAAGAAATCCTGGCAAGATAAGGGAGTTAGTACTGGCAGACAGCATCATTTCATATTGCTTCTGGAAATGACTACAAGCACCATGATTCCACTGCTTTTCCTTGTTCCAATCTCCTTGGATTGGAGACAGCAAAAGCACCTGAAGTGATGAATCTCATCATCTGACTTTTGTTCATTACCTTTGGTTTGAGCTGCTGGGAAGAGGTGACTGTGTCACAGGCTGGGGCATGAACAAGGCTTTTTAAGTTTTTAACACTTCTCTGAGGTGTCTTTTGTGGAGAGTTGTGATTCCTGCAATATCCTCTCTTTGTAATAAGACCTAGCATACAGAAGACAGCTATAGATCAGCAGGAAGTCAGAGGAGGTGATAATTGTACTTGGTATTTTATCTACCCAAAGAGAATACAGATGATGAAAGAAAGCACTGCGAGGTGTGAGGGAAAGGGGACAGGCAAAGCTTTCAGAACAAAGGTCCTGCTTCTACAAGGCCAGCAGGTTTACAGCAGTGGGGTCTATTCATGGTCATTTCTGCTCATGTCAGAGAACTCAGAGGTACAGAATGGAGAATAAACAGGATATCGTAATTATGTTAAAATTAAACCTGCATGTAAGTGCTTGTAGGTGCATTGCAGGTTTGTGCCCCCAGTTTCTTACTTTGAATGCTGTTCTCCAACGTGGAGTGGAGAGGTACCTGTCCTTAACTGCTCTCCACTGCTGTAAGCAGGAAAAAATGATCATGTCTCCATGGGATCATGAGTATCATCATGTCAGTATGTGTGAGTGGCACATACCAAAGGTGTGATGACAAGCTTCAGTCTGTACAGAAGCAGTATTTTGAGGAAAAATTGAAAATCAAAAATGTGGTTTCGAGGGGAGAAAAAGCTGAAGTTGCTATGCACATATTTTTCAGTAGGCAGATACAGTACAGAATGCTGTTATTACTGGCTGTACACCCTTTTTGAAGGTGGTGGGTGGACAACCTGAAACACTCAAAAGAAAATGATTTCCCAGAGGAGCTGACTTTCCAAAACAACCACTTGGTATGCATGATTCCAAGATTGGGGTACAGCAAATAAAATAACCCTGTTTCCTTTCCAAGCATCCCATGCAAGTCTCTGTTTTGTATATTTGGCCTTTCTTACCAAGCATTAACCATGCAAAATGCCTTTCATACTCTTCCCATTGCCTGGCTCTTCAGAGGGAGATGTCCATGGGAGAACAAACTGTCAGCTGGTGTGTGTATCTCAGAAAGCTTTCTGATCTTCTTTCCATGCTCCCACTAACCTGTGGAACAGTGTTCTTAAAACCAAGCCTGTTTTTAAAGCAGTTACAGTCTTTGCAGTCACGTCTCTTCATTTCAGCTGGGGCAGAGAAGCTCTGGCCAAGAGCTGCATCTCATCTGTCAAAATAATAATTCTGGCCTATAGCTTGTTGTTCTTTTTCAGCTGGGGCTTCAATTCAGGGAGGCTGATGCAGTCCAAGTGAATTGTTCTTCCAGTCCTCTCCCAGAGAGCTTTCCCTAGGCATGCATCCATTTTTCAATCACCAGACTGAGCACACAGCTGTCACACAGTGAAAATGTAGCTATTTCCAATTGTGTGTTTAGATATGGGTCCATTATATAGCAGTGCCACCAGTTCTGTACTGTGCTAGGTTCACATACAATCAGGAAAGAAATAGAGCCTCTTCAGAGCCTATAAAACAGCAGTGTAACCAGTTCTATGAAAGGTTCACCATCTGCAGATGGAGAAAAGCAGTCTAGACTGGTTTTCTTTGAGAACCTTAGGAAAGTGGTAAATAGAAATTGCCAGAACACTCAGTAAAGATGGATGGTTGCCTTGGGCTTCTGTGCCATATGTTGAGTGTGATGTATCTAATTTTTTATCTCCAAGTAATAAGTGAAATGCTGACTTGTCTTGAGGTAAATGTCAACATTAAGTAAAAAATAGTGGTATTTTAAAGTTGGAGTTTTTGTCAAGAAGCTTGTTTTTAGAAATTATTGCTTTCAAAGGGAAAGTAAGTAAATACGGTTAGTCTGTATTTGTAGCATCATGGAAATTATAGACAAATTTAGGTTTAAAGTGATCTGTGGTAGCTGCCTCCTTCTTGAACAAGGGTTGTTGTCAGAGGTAGATGAGGTCATTCAGAGCCATGTCCACTTGAGGGGTACATACCTCAGCATGTACCTGTAAGAATGGCATTTCCACAGCCTTTCTGAGCAGCCTGTCCCAGTACTCAGGCAGTCTCACCAAAGAATTGTTTTTCCTCATGTTTGATTGGAATTTCTCATCTTGCTGCCTGTGTTGTCCTTTCATTGGGGGGGGAGAGTGTATCTTGTTCATTGCAAATACTTACCACAGCACCTGCCTCTGGGCTGTCCTTGTGTGCATCTGAGTCAGAAGTGGTTTTGTTCTTAGAGTCCTTTAGGAAGAGTCAGAAAATCAAATGTGTGAAGTGCTGCGGCCCCGGCCCATCCTGGGCATGGAGTCAGAGCTGTACAAAAAGGAAAAGAGAAGCATCATTGTCATTTTCAAAAGCTGTAGTTTTTGTTGAGCAAGAGGGTGGCATACAAAAAAAAAATCCCAGATCTATGGGAATTTTCAGCTCTTGCAAAACACAAACTGATCTGAAATTCAGACTATCACAGCAGTGTGCTTACCTCTTGTGCTTCTCTCTAAACAGTTTTCACAGTTTTTCAGTTTAATCTTTTTAGTCCCACACAGACATATCGAGCTATTAATACTTCATTTCATGGACAGGAGCTATATTCTTGTGTAGTCTACCCTGGTGGCTAAATTCAGCTACATTTCCATTCTTCTCCAGGAATCTCTGTGTAATAGCAGAGAGTTTCTCAGTGTCCTCAGGAGTCACCCCAGTGGTTTGTGCTCTCCTGGGAAAGCTGGTCCAGCTCTTCCTATGAATAAATACATTGCCATGAGATACAGAGAAGACACTTGGGTCTTCTCTGTCTTATCTCAGGAGAATAATGTTTACAGATCCATCCCAGAGATCACCTCTGGGTGCTCTTAATATTTATTTCAGTTTAGAAACCTGGTATTTTATGAAATTGTTCCGATTTTTTCAGCTAGTAAAATGCAAGCTGTCAATCCTGAGCTAAGAGTGGAATAAGAAAAGTAGTGAATGACTGTTTATTGGTGACAGTAACTTTAGAAGTTAAAGGCCTGTTCATAGGATCAGCAGAAATGTCAACAAGGGATGTTCCTGTTTTCTTGGCTGCTATGTGTGACTGCAGTGAGTTATGTTGGCTGTAGCCCACTTGGATGGCACTGCAGTTCACAGCTTGAAGAAGCCAAGTGCTCATAAATAGGCTAAATTTACAGGTGATTTAACAACTCCCATTTATAAATTGGAAGAGAAAAGTGTCTATTTTCAGGAGACAAGTATTTTGTAGTAAATGTTCTAATGGAGTGAAATCCCATTCTAGGATTGTGCTAGGAAGCTCTGCTTCATTTTTGGAATCCTTTTCTGGATCAGTTGTTTTCCCATGTCTTGGACATGGAAAATAATTTGATGTTTAAACCACCTGGAAAGAATTAGATTCCTGTGGCTGCTTGGGCCATTGGTGAGCCAGAGCTGAAAGAGAATAATTTAACAAATTAGACCAGATGAATCCATGTCTGGACACAAGTAGGGGCTCTCATAGTTGCTTCAAAGCTTTGCAGCTTTTCATATTCATTATACCCATAAAGAGAAAGTCAGTTTTGCCCTCACCTAATACAGGGCTAGCATCCCATGGAAGCATTGCCTGCCCTGAGGGGATCTGGTGTCCTGGTGTCTGTTCTGGATTCCCCATCAGTAGCTATCTCACCATTTACTCCCACCAGTGAAGTATTTAAAAAAAAACTCTTTCAGATTTAGAGTAATCAAAGAAGCTAATTCAAATGATTAATTATAGTCATAAATGGATTTTATTTGTGATTCAGACTTTTTTAGCTCAGCCTCCAACATGCAGTCTGACAGGTAAATACCCTTCAGATGCATGTGTAGCTCTTACTGTATGTTTAGAAATGCCTGATGTGTTCAGGTACGTGACACAATCACCAGGCTGCACACGAGTGTGTGAGGCTGTGTCTAAACCTGGCTCAGGGCAGCACCCTGTGCTCCCTTGGGAGCTGCTCCCTTGGGAGCACAGCACTGCCAGGGCTCCCTGGGCACTGCTCAGGGCATGGCAGCACTGCCAGGGCTCCCTGGGCACTGCCAGGGCTCCCTGGGCACTGCTCAGAGCATGTCAGCACTGCCAGGGCTCCCTGGGCACTGCTCAGAGTGTGGCAGCACTGCCAGGGCTCCCTGGGGGCTGCAGGGAGGGGCTGCACTCCAGCCCTGTGTGATTCCTTCCTTCATCCCCCTTGGATGGGCAGCAGTGCCTGGGGGTGGGCACGCTCCAGCTCCAGGACTGCACGTGGGGCTGGATGTAGGGTGGGATGTGGGGCTGGATGTAGGGTGGGATGTGGGGCTGGATTTTGGGTGGGATGTGGGCTGGGCGTGGGGGTCTCTGCAGAGCCTGGCTTGGTGCTGCTGCTCTGCAGCAGTGCTGTCCCCAGGTAAGTGGCTGCTCCTCAGTGTCAGATGCAGTGACAGGCCTCGAGCTGGGGTTGCCTCTGGTTGCTGGGAGGGCTGTGGTGCTGTGCTGACACCTGACGATGGATGGGAGGGTTGCTCTGCACTCCCCATGACTGTGTCTGTTACCTTGTAGGCGTTTGAGCTAGCGACTGGAGATTACTTGTTTGAGCCACACTCTGGTGAAGACTATTCCAGGGATGAAGGTATGACTCTTTTGAGGTATTGTAAGAGTTTCTTCATATTTTCGTACACCTTCTCTTAAATTTCCAGTGAGCTTACAGTGGAGTTTAAGTTTTGTATTTGAGTAGAACTGTTCATACACATTGTTTTCAGAATATAAATATGATTTTTTTTCTTTTTAGTTGTAAGTTCCACCACTAGCAGTGGGTGGGCAAAAACACCCTTCTGCAGATATTCATCTACTTAACAACTGCCTGAAGGAATTAAACTGCCCTTCTTGTAAGATTGCATATGTGTGGAAACCTGATTGAAAATAACAACATTTTAGTTTAGAAAAGAAACGGCAAATTTGAACTTTATTCTATTATTCACTTTACAAGAGTGACACTGGAATAATGTTTATATTGTGTATTTTTATTTGTATTAGGCAATTACTAATTATTTTTTTTAAATCAGAGTTAACTCCTGCTTCCATCTGTATACCTGTCCATTTTCATGCTTGTTTGCTTGTAAATGCTCTTTGCAGTGGTAATGTGGGCATCATTCATTGTTCCTAAATGCTACTAATGATGCCAGAGCTCTGCTGATCCTGGAAACCTCTGCATGGATTTGCTGCAAACATTGTTGATTTGAAACTATTTCTGATTTTTTACTAATTCCAGTTTCTTTCCTCTTCTTTTTTATCCCATCCTTTCCCTGCCCCTTCCACTCCCGTATCCTTTTTTTCTCTCCCTCATAGACCACATAGCACACATCATAGAGCTGCTAGGCAATATCCCAAGGCACTTTGCTCTATCTGGAAAATATTCTCGGGAATTCTTCAATCGCAGAGGTAGTACCTCTTCTTTTTGAAAGGTGCCGTGACGCAGACAGAAGTGGAATTGCTGTTGCTGGTTGTATCATGTCCCAGCGAGGAGCATTTCCTGAAATCACACAACAAAATTTTTCATTTTGAAAAGCAAAATTCCCAGGAATCTCTGACAGTTTTTTTTTTACCCAAACGTTTTGAAGAATAACTATTGGTACATTTTAAATTACATGGCAAAACTTGCTTGTGGCAGCTGACACTCGCTGTTTTGAGAAGGAAGTTTTGCTGAAAGCATCTTTCCAAAGGAGCCACTGAGTGAGCAGTGTGCACGTGTGTTTTTTACCAGGATCAATCTATTTCTGTCTGTACCGGGCCAGTGTTAGTGTGTGCATGCAATGTACTGATTAAACTGTTGTATGTTTCTGTTTTGCTGGCAATGTTCTCCAATGCAGACCACATAGCATTGATCATTGAACTGCTGGGAAAAATCCCTCGAAAATACGCTATGTTGGGGAAATATTCCAAGGAGTTTTTCACCAAAAAAGGTAACGGTATTTATGCAACACTAATTTAAAGCATAATACTATCCAAAAGGAGAATATGTTCATTTACGGGTACTGAAGAAATAGATCCATTTAAATGGAGAGCACTTACTAAAGAAGATCTGTGATCTAAACTTGGCTTTCTGGGAAAAGCCCCAATTTGAGGTGTTCATTTCAGTATTTCATTTAAAATTCATTTGGGGATGTGCTCAGCAAAGTGTGGATGTTAACAAGTGTCTGTGTGAATGTGTTGTCTAATGTTCCTGTAAGTGTGAGCACTCAAGTGATGCATAGCTTGTAACGTGGTGAAAAATCATCTGTCAGCAGCTTTGGATCCTGGCTAGTGGTCCAGCAGGTGCTCCTGGTGAGGAATGACAGAGGCAGGGAGGGAATACCTGGGCAGTGGACACTGAGCTGAGTGTGGCTGTCACAGCCAGGGAGCAGGCACAGCAGATGGAACTTGGCCCAGGCTGCTCTTGAAGGCAGGGCTTTGACTCATGGGGGAAAGGGGTGATGCCTGAGGTGTGTTCATCCCTTGGCTGTGTCACAGCCCGTGCTGTGTGGAGGGACAGGGTCTGTCAGGAGCATCCAGGGCTGTCAGCCACAGCTGGGGAGGGCACTGTGCTGCTGGCAGAGCTGGGGTTGCCCTGCCAAGGGTCTGTCAGGAGCATCCAGGGCTGTCAGCCACAGCTGGGGAGGGCACTGTGCTGCTGACAGAGCTGGGGTTGCCCTGCCCGTGGCTGCCCAGCAGCTGCAGGGAGGTGTCAGTGGCTGGGGGCTGAGCTGGCAGCTCTGGAGCTCGGGAACACAACCAGTGATTCACCCTGCTCTGTGCTGGATATTCCTGCTACAGCAGGGACTCCTGTGCCTCCATGTCCCTAAGGAGGCTGCTGATGGCAGTGCAGTGCAGAGAAGGGCAGCAGGGATGATCTAGGAGGGAGCAGCTGCCCTTTGTGAGAGGCTGAAATGCCCGGGGCTTTTGAGTGTGGAGTAAGGTTTATGTAATCAGGAAGTCAGTGGATAAGCTGAAGAGAGAGCTGCTGTTTGCCAGCACTCACCATGCAAGAGCTGGGGGAAAGGCACTGAAATCTGCAGAGGATGGCTTTAAAACAAGTGTTTCCCTGCACAGCAGGCAGTGAGCTTCAGGAGCTGGCTGCCTCAGCAGGCACAGAGAGGGCCTGTGTCAGCGGGCTTCAGACAGGCTCCTGGGAACTGAGATGCACAAACTCGAGTTCCACAGGTCTGGAAATGCATAAAGCAGTGAGAGGGCTGGGCACAAGATACCCTGCAGCACCTCCAGACAAACCAAAACCACGACACAGCTGCTGGAGTGTATCTCCCATTCCTTACAGCAGACAGGTTGGCATTTTCTAGTGATGTGATAGAACTGTAAAATGACCTAGCAGTTACTCAGTGTTGGCAGAGCACAGGAGAGGGCAGTTTGTAAAATTCCTGTGGTGAGGAGAGTCTCTGGTGCTTTCATGAGCATCTTCAACTGCAGAGTGTCACTGTTGTCCTCGAGGGCCTGAGCCTCAGTGACATTCCTCAGAGGCACTGGGGGTGCCTCTTGCATCCTCAGGGTGGGATTTAGGATAGGCTTGAAGGCTTGGTTTACCAACCACATAACATGTAAGTGCAAGTTTGCTGTGGAAGATGAAGTAGACTTGGATTCCACCTCTTTCTGCTTAAATCAGAGAATCTCAAATGCAAGACAAAGGAGTAACAAACCAAGCTGATTTCTCAGATCACACCAGTTATTCTACTGTTGCAGGCTGGGGAAGCTGAAATGTTTTGTGGAGCAGAACTGGAGGTGCCAAGTGTCCTGCTTCCTTGAGCATCTTTCTTTGCATCAGGCACCCTTTTCCTTTTCCCTGGCCACCCCAGTACTGCCAGCCTCTGCTGTCCCCAGCTGGGATTTGTGTGTGGTGGGCTGGCAGGGTATGAGAGGTAGGCTTCAGAGATGGCCAGCAAGGTGCTGCATTTTGTACTCATCTGCTTGTGGCTTGAGCACTGGAGATCTGAAGCCTCGTGGTACAGGCCTGAGGCTCTTGTGAGAATTTCTTGCTGTGGTCAAAGGGCGGGCTTAGAAATCTTGCTGTTGAGCTCCTGTTTTGAAAACATCTTGGGTGAAAATCAGTTTGAGTTTTGCTCCTGTCCATGAGCAAGTTTGACCTCAGAGAGATGCTTCAAACATGAGTTGTGCTACTGAAGTCCCAGGCACAAAAAGAAGGATGCTAGTAACTTAGATTTTAGAGGATCAAGTCCTTTCTCGATAATGGCCTGAAGCAGTTTTAGACATTCAAATAGGAGAGTGCATTTGAAAGAGGAAAAGCATTTTTAAGTTACTTCTTCTACTATAACACAAATGCTGACATATTTCTATAGAGTTTCATCTTGACTGAGCCCAGTAAAGGACTCCAGGGAGTCCATTTCTTCAGTGTCTTCATGGAAGCTGTTTTGACAGTAAGAATTATTAATATGTTTTGGCCTTAAAAAAATTATTAGTATGTTTTGGTCTTAAAAAAAAAAATCCTTTTGTTATTCCTAGACCTTGGTCCCTTCTGTTTTTCTTCTGGTATTTGCTAGTCCTGTTTCCTTGGGGGCTAAACCTGTGCAAGATGCTGGCCAGGTGCTGAACAATGAGAGAGAGCACTGTGGTGTCCTGGAAGGGAGGAGGCTCCCTCCACGCTCCTCGCTTCCCCCCGCTGCACCACCAGTCCTTGAATCAGTTCTTGGGATCCTGTCCTAGATGTGTAGCAGCAGATTATATCCCATTGCTGCTTCCCCAGTTCTTCACATCATCCATGTCTTACTGTCCAGTAATCCATCCTCCTCTTGCCTGGTGACACATCTTAAATTTGTCTTTGACAAATTTTATAGACTAGCTCTGTGATTTTTGTGTTACGGTCAGCAGAGACAGCTTTAAATAGCATTTTTCTCCCCTGGTCCTTCAGAAAATTTTTTTAGTAATTTCCTTCTGGCTTGACATTTCCTTTTTCAGAGGGATCATTGCTGCCTCTGCTTTGGCAGCAGGAGTTTTACAGTTCTGACAACTCTGTTGTCCTCTGCAGATTATCTCCTGTGTGCTTCACTATCAAAAATCCAAATAAACAGCTTCTCTGAGGAAGTTCTCAGTATTACATTTTTAGCACTTCTTTGAAAATTCATGCCAATGCCCTCAATACAGATGGTGTCAGACTGGTGGGGCTTGTGCTTTTTAAATTTCTGTCTTAAATATAGGTACAGCCTTGCTCTCCTCCAGCTTCATGGTACAAACATTTTGAACTAGGTGAAAATATGTCTTGGCAGACACCTCCATTTCCTGTGCTCTTCTCATGCTTTAGATGGAAATGAGAAGGGCCCACATGGAAATTATTTCTAAGACTTTGTGTCCACTTAAGTGGTGTTAATTGTCTTTTACTTACCCTATTTTGTTTCCATAGTTAGCATCATGATCCTTACTGGAAACTGAAGCATTAGTTTAAGCATGGCCCCCACACAGATACTTTTTCCTGAATCCTGTCTTAAGTGCTTTCACAATCTTCACAGGATTTCTTGTGGAAAACTTCAGCCATAGCGCTAAAAGAGTTTGTTCCTTAGCAGAAAAATTGCTGAGTATTGAGCTGGCCTTAGCATGGGCATTCACAAAATGAGGAGTACTCCAACAGCAAGAACTCTCCTTCCACAGTGGCACAGGAGCCTCATGGTGCACTCTTACCTTATCAGATCTGAGAGAGGAAAGATGCTGGAAATGACAAAATGAGAGTGCAAAAATGAGGACAGTGCTGGGATGGGAGCAGGCAGTGGATGGGAACACACACCCACCCTCCCTCAGAGCTAAGCCTTATTTGGTACATGATTACAGCAGCCCTTGCAGTGAATGCTGGGAGCATGGACATTATTTTTTTCCGAGTAATTTTTTGCTGGCAGTCAGTAACAAGTCATTTTTCTGTCACTTTTTGGCAGTAATTTGCGTTCATGCATTCCTGTTACATAATTCACTACCTGTTCTTGTAAGCAGTCACCAATACACTCTTTTGGAAACCTTCCAGAAGGTAAATTTTCAGCAGTTCACTTTCAGGGTTGCACAGAGATTTAAAGGGCTGAGAGTGAGGCTGGAAATGAGCGTGCTGCTGCGAGGTGTGCTGTCCTTCCTGCTGTGTGGGGCAGCTGTGGCCCAGAGCAGGGCCCCTCTGTGTCTGTGGGTGCTTGCACTGAGTGCTCCCACCCAGCCCGGGCTCTGCCAGCCTTCCCAGCACACCTCCATTCCTGTTCCTAGCTCGTGGGTCATGGATTGTCTGCATCATGGATTGTCTGCGTGCTTGCTCTCGTGGCACTTTGTGACAGCAGCTTGAAAGCTGCTTTTTCAGGGACTGCACTGTGCCTAGAACCTGCTGCTGAGGGCTGAGGCAGCAGAAACAGGGCCTGCTGAGCCTTGGGGGCTTGTAATGCATTGCATGGAGATGTTCAGCCTCTGGGGCAGTTGGATGGACAGGGGTTACTTCTCCTGCCCTGGAACTTGCCTAGCCACAGGGATGTGCAGAAGCTCTGGCCTGTGAGCTGGTGTCAGATGGCGTTTTATGGGCAGTAGGTTACAGCCAGGGACAAGCACCACACTGACAAACCACTGGGCTACAAGTAGTGTGGCCTGGATGCCCCATCCCACGTGGTGAAGTGAGCCTGTGAAGCCTCCAGTGTTGGTGAGACCCCAGCACTCTCCTCAGTGCAGAGGCTCTCTCAAGTGCTCTCATGTGTTTCTTGCAGTGTCCAGTGGAGACTGTCTGGCACATACACATGCTCTAAATGGGTTGCATTGAGTTCAGAAATTCGGCAGAAAACAGCTGCCCTTGTTTCAGCTGGTCCCCAGAGATCAGAGGGGCTGGGTGTGGCAGGGTTTAGTTACTGACTAGAACAGATCAGGCGCTCTTAATTCTGGTCACATTCAGTAAGAACTTTCACATACACAGATTCATGGCTAGTGTAGTTTGTTGCAGCAAGAGGCCATAGATTCATTAGATTGTTGGTGATAAATGCACTGGATCTAGAGTGTAATTGCACTGCTCTGCAGAGTGTAAGTTCCTGGCTGTAGTCTGACACAGTCAGAAGCCAGATGTTACCAAAGAGATGTCCCTGCTTTGGGGAGGAGAGGAGCAAGCCCGTTGACTTGCCTGCAAGGTGGGGTCCTGTTCTCATCCTCCAAGGAGGATGTCCCATGTGAGAGTCACACTTTCGGGAGAAGTGGAGGTGTGACTGTAGTGAAATTCTGTTACTGCTGTCGTGAATGGTGAGGGGGCAGCCCCACCACATGTAAATGGGGGATATTGAGAGCCTGGATTGCAAAGGCCATGGTACAAGGTGACACCTCAGTGTCGCTCCCTGCTGATGGCAGCAGTGAGGGTCATTTGGCCTGACAGCTGCTCGTCCCTCTCATGCTCACAGTAGTCCCTTTACCACGTACCTCATGGCACATCTCATGGCTTTGGGCCTCATTCCTTCGCAGTGGAGGAGCAGGAACCTGAAGAGTCTTCCCCGTCATGCTGGATGACCCATGGACAGAGCTGCATAGTGCTGCTGGTTTGAATGGCTGAATGGTTCTCACCTCCTTCCTTTTGGTCTGGGACACGTTCAGCTTGGCAGAAGTCCTGGTCCCTCTTGAAAGGAACTCCAGTCCTGCAGCTGCTGCCACCATTTTTGTTGGTGATTGGATGAAAGAGCCCTGGGCAGCAGCAGATGCTTCCCTCTCAGGGACTCAGACCAGGCTATCTGGGGGAGTTTGCCTGGGACATGGAGCAGAATCTCTGGAGCACCAGACTCAGCTTGGCTTGGTTAGGAGTGAATCAGAGCTCTGCTGCATTGCTGGCAAATGCCACATGGGCAGGCAAGGAAGGACCTGTGTTTCTGAAACCTCCGTCTTGGGATTGGAGCAGATTCTGTGAAATTCGGGTTCCTTGGCAGATTGCAGGAGAGGCCTGCAGTGGTCTGGCCATGGTGGGAGCATGAGTGTGAACGAGTGCCTGTGTGCACAGGAGAGTGAAGGCAGCAGGAAGCCTCAGTGGAGTCCAGGTGTAAGGTACTCATGGCTGTAGAACAGTTTTTGGCTTGGACATGGAACATACTCATCTCCTCTGAGGACCTCGAGCCAGCTTGGTGTGCACTGCCCTTCCTAAACAGTGACTCCCTGCCCGGCCAAGGTGCTGTGAATGCAGAGTGGGAGAGAAACCAAACAGGGATGAGTCACTGACATGAATAACAAGGTGTTTTTCTAATGCCATCAATATTTCTGTTGCAGGAGAACTCCGACACATTACCAAGTTGAAACCTTGGAGTCTTTTTGATGTGCTTGTGGAGAAGTATGGTTGGCCTCATGAAGATGCTGCACAGTTTACAGATTTCCTGATCCCCATGCTAGAAATGGTCCCAGAAAAACGTGCTTCAGCTGGAGAATGCCTTAGGCATCCATGGCTGAATTCTTAGCAGAATCTTCCAGCTGTAGGAAAAAAAAAAAAAAAGCCAGCAACCACTTTCCAATGCGTTGGACCTAAATGGTGACTGTCACAAAATCTTTAGCAGGATCACACGTGAGCTGGCTTCAATCCTCAGACCTTTATTTTGCTTGAGGTACTGTTTGACATTTTGCTTTTTGTGCACTGTGTTCTTGGGGAAGGGTAGTCTTTTTGTCCTCAGCTAGTAGTTTACTCACCCACTTTCTTCAGAAAACACTTAACGTGTCTTTAAGCATTGTTTCTTGTGTTGTGTGACATTCAGATGTCAGATTTTTGAACAAAAGAAACTTCCCCCCATGTGTTTTGGCAAGTTTTGTAACTATTTATGAAAAAAAAAATATTTTAGCTGATGCATATTATATAATTTACGAGTGTAAGAAATTTATCAAGTCAGAACTGAGTTACGGCAAGGAATTGTACAATTTTATCTTCTGGCAAAGGGATGTCATTCTTGTATTATAGTGTATGTAAATGCACCCTGTAAATGTTTATTTCCATTTAAATATGGGACTGGGGACTCAATTTCAGAGTAAAGCGACTAAGTTTTAGAGAGCTTTATAGCAAACCAATTGCATGTAGTGGACTTTAAACTGCTTTAAGGAATTGTGTAAACTTTCTATTCTGTAGCAGTTCCTGTTCATTGGGTTTTAAACAAAGTGGCTCTGGTTTACAGGATTTCATTCCCCAAATGGCACTTTAAAGGAAGGCTAGACTTCTTTCTAATAAAGTATGCATTATCATTTAGCACTCCCTTTTAGAACTTTTGCCTATTTTAAGTGCTTTTAAGAAAAGAAAAATAGCAATTTCCCTTACAATGTGATAGTGAAGACATGGTACCATATGGTGTTGCCTTTTTATAAGCACTGTAAGTTGTACTATACCTTAAGAAAAAGAAAAAAAATTAAAAGTAGAGCATGAGAACCACTCTCTGTGTAGAATTACTGATCTTTTATAATAAAAGTGTGTGCTTGGCATCAGTTAAGGAAGGATGTAGCTGCAGATATTTACAGTGCAGTGGGTAAAATAATCCAAGAAGCAAGATCATGCTCATTCCATTCATAGCTTTACATGTTTCTAAAACAAATTGCACTAGCTTTATTCTTTCCCATCCGTAGACATCGACTGCCCATTGTAAGTTGCACGCAACAATTATGTGTTTCCTAGGAAAAAAAGCTGCATAGGCTGAAGCTTATAGGCAATACAGATTTTAGAATGTACAGTACGGAGGTGTGTTTGGGCCTCTTTTAGAAGTCAGTGGGATGAATGTAAGCTTACTCCTGATCTTCATGTAACTACAGTGCCACTTTTTTCTTGACTTTGTCCATATAAAATTTATTCACATGCCTTTGCAATAACTAGATTGTGAGAAGATAGCCCCATGCTGTAACAATAACCAGTTGTTTGAGGTGCTTGCAGTTGTCTAATTAAAGTGTTTTGTTTTTTCAGACAGTGTTGCTGGTCATTGGAATCTTTGCCTAGCCACGACTCAGCTGTGGGGTCGCTGAGGGGTGGGCGGTGGGGGCTGGCCAGAGAAAGGGAGCTTCCCATGTTCATTTACGGAGCACATCCCCACGGGCCCTGTGGCAGGCGGGGCTGGGTGGGAGTGGTTTGCTGGGTGAAATGTGACCAAAAAAAAGCGTCTTTCCTACCAGCAGTTCCGTATCCCACCAGCAGTTCCGTAGCAAGTCCTGTAGCCAAGGGAACGATTGTCCCGTGCCGAGGGCCGGGGCAGCCGCAGGGCGGAGCTCTGGGCTGGGCAGCCTGGCCAGGGCCGAGCCCCCACGGCAGCCGGCTCAGAACCGTGTGCTTCACCTCAGCTGGAGCTGCTTGTAGTGGCTGCACGGACAACGCTGCTCTGAAGGACGATGCCACAATGGACTCAAGAGGTAAAAATTGCGTTCAGCTTCACACCCAGCCCGGCTCTGTAGCGCCTGGTTGCTGCAACTGGTTACAAATGTGTTCTTGAATAGACAGGAAATGCTGGCACTGGAGTGAAGTGCCAGGGGCAGCCCCGGGCTGGCACAGCTCTGCCCTCTGCCCGGCCTTGGTGCTGCAGCAGCACTGGGCAGCCCTGCCCAGGCCTGTCCTGTTCTGCTCTCCGGTGCAGCAGCTCCCTCTACTGCACCAAGACCGTGCCAAGCACAGTTGGGTATTCAGTGTTTGCTTGTATTTGAAATGATTCTGTCACTTCCTGGAGGTATGGAAGAGGGGCAGACAGCCAGATCTGAATGCTGGGCTAGACAGGATGGTGCACATCAGAATCAGTGTCTGAGCAACTGCACAGAGGGTGGGTTGGGTTTTTTGCTGGTTTTGATAGCCTCATGCTGTCCTACACTACACATGCTAGTGTAAAATGTGACCTCCAGTGTGCGTGCTGCAGAGCCAGCAGGTGTTCAGGAAAGCATTTATAGTGTATGGTTTTAACTAGCAAGATTCTTCCATAGTATAGATGCAAATTCGATTTTAAAGCGGCCCCCTTTTTTATTACATGTTAAGGAGAATTACCATTTTATTTCAGTGGGTAGGAGCCACTTTCCCTGCCATGCCGTTTCAGCGTTCCTCACGCAGGGGTTCTCCGTGGTCTGAGGTGGAGCCATTGAGCACCATCCTGTGGTGTGAGCAGGACTGAGAGCAGCTCCTGCTGGCATGGAAGCACGGCCTCACCCGTGGCAGAGTAACTGCAGATGAGCACAAGGGCACCACCTCAGCTGCCACTTGCAGCAGCAGCAGGAATAAATCCCTTCCCTTAGGAAACCCCACACTGCTACACGGTTTGTAACATTCTGTACCCACTGCAGCACCACCCACTGCTTCCCTGCTCTGTAACCAGGGTCACCTCCAGCATCAAAACGCCCTCAGGGCCCCTGCTGACCCTCTTGGGAAACTGACCCAGGGCTCTGCTGCGCTTGGGGATTATTCCTCAGCCTCTGAAGGGAGCAGGGGATAAATCTCCTCCTCGAGCCTGTTCCACATCTGTCTGTGCTACAGCAGTGAAGCCACAGCTGGAAACTGCAGAGAAGTGAGGAGCCTCACAGGGAGCAGGGGAATCAGAGACTTAAGGCCACGTTCCTGCTGATATAGCACCCTTCCAGGACAAGCAGGTAAAACTGACATAATTGTGATTTATTAACATGAATTAAAATGCCCAACCAGTGCTGCAATGTGACAGTATATTAAAAAAAAATTAAAGATCATATACTGTACTACTTTCACAAAGATCACACTTTTTTTTGCAAAAGACTTATTATATACAATACTATATCAAATGAAAGAAGCTTTAAGCAACTTTACAAGCGAAAGAAATACAGTATTTACAGCACTCATCCGAGACATTAGAAACAGTCTATACATTAAATTACAATTTCTGCAAATAACTGATGAAACAAAAAGCCATGTCCACACCAAAACTATAAAAATCTGTATTGCATTGTTTCCTATCTCTATGCACACAAAAAACTGTTGACAGAAAATGGAAAAAAAAAGTTGTTAGTGCCATCACTTAGCCTGTGTACTTATTTAATTACATATGTATAAAAGTAATATAGAAAACTTTCACTAAATGAATTTAACTGCAACAATAAAATTTTAAACATTATGCAGCATCAAACCTACTGCCAGAAAAAACAGCTGGAATGTCCACTTACAAAATAAAAAGAAATACCTAATACTGGCTTAACAGCACGTTTTCAGGAATTTTAAAAAGCAAAAAATGGAAAGGATACAATGGAAGAGCACTGGTGTTTGCTTTTATACAAAGTATCATGTACAAGCTTTAAAAAGTACCCTGAATAGGTACATATTAAATATACACAGTTTATATTACAGAACATTTTAAAAATGTTTATAACTAAAGGGATCTGTTTTAATGCCACCCTGACCCATGGTAATTGTTCTGAAAGGTGGGTGGCACCTGTGCTCTGTGAATGGGGATCTGTCCTGGCACGGGCGAGGCCTGCTGCTGCCCCTGCACTCCGTGGGGAAGGGGCACGGAGCCGGGGTGAGGGCAGAAGCCGGAAGCAGTGGGTGTTGCAATACTGTTTGGTCCTTGAGGCTGGATGTGAGGACCCTGACCAGGCAGTGGGCAGTGAGGTCCTGTGCCAGCAGGCTGATGCTGAGGTCCAGGTCCCAGCGTTGTGTGATGCGGGGCTTGCGAGGAGTAGGAGGAGACGCTCGTGTGAGCGCTGGAAGGGAAATGGGGGGGTCCTTGATGGGATGGGTGGTGTAAGCCCTGTGCTGATGAGGGGTGGTGCCCCGAGCCCAGAACGTTGGAGGGAGGGGGCGGCGGGGGAGGCGGTGCCGAGTTTACAACGTGCTGGTGTTGTGCTTGCAAACCTTGGTGTCCCGTGGAAGGATGGGGAGCTTGGTGGTGGGGGAGAGGACCTGGTGGCGGAGGTGGCGGTGGCAAATGGTGACCAGCAGCTTGAGAATGGATGTGTGATCCAGGAGCCACTGCCATGGCATGAACTGGACCAACAACATGTGCTACAGAGTGCTGCTGATGAGTACTTTGCTGCTGGACAAGGTGGGGTCCTGGAGCAGGTGGTGGTGGAGGAGGAGGAGGAGCAGCAGATGCCGACGCCTGGTGATGAATACTGGGGTTCTGAGAGGACAAAAAATGCCCTGCAGCTACGTGGTGCCCTGGCACCGTTTGCTGACCCGCAGTGCCAGGAAGTGCTTGATTTGGTCCAGATGAAAACACAGTCTGTTGGGGTATGCTGCCCTTCAGCTGGCTGTAGCTCTGGAAGTTTCCAGAGGGCTGCTGGCTTTGATAGTAAGTGGAAGAAGGGGGTGGAGGGGGTGGGGGAGGTGGCGCACTGCTGTTCAAATTTTGTTGGTTGAACTGGCTGTAGGAAGCTGAAGATTGTCCTGATGTTGTCTGAGTGAAGAGGGGGCCGCTCGCCTGCGCCTGATTACTGGGCTGGAGGGTCGGTGCCGCCGGGTAGAAGTTCCTGTGTGTTTCCCTCTGGGGCGTTCCAACTTGAGGTGACTGTGGGTGATGAGGTCTGTATGGAGATCCCAGCTGCTGTGAGTGAGGCTTTGGTGAAAGGTAACCGTGCTGCACAGGCGCGTGAGGGGTAGAAGACTTGGGGGGATTTTCTACGTGAGGCGAGGGGGGGCAATGCAGCTTCAAAGGTGCAGAAGGCAACTTCTGTGAATGTGAAAGTTGCTCAGCAGAGCTGCGCGGATGTGACTGAGATGGATGATTCTTTGAAAGTGCTTGGACGTTGTTTGTCGGCTGTTTCTGCTGCAGCTCAGGTTTGGGATGATTCGCACATTCAGTCTCAGGTGCAGCAGCTGCAGTTTCCCAGTGCGAATCTGGTTTTGTGGGTGTTTTCCCAAGAGGCTGTGCTGAAACTACAGGACTCGGTGAAGAGGGCTGGAATGGAAAGAAAGACAGTCAGTGCCCAATGTCCAAAATACTCAACCATGCATGCAATAAACAAAAAAGAACATCTCAGAACACTCTCCTCAGACTGCGAAAAGAAGTGCTGAGGTGCAGGATATATATATGGTGTGAGAAAAACATCGGTAACAGAGTAAGCTTGAGAAGGTACTATTTTTATCAAGTATATATCAATAATTCTTCCAAGTCAAAGACTACTAAAGTGTATTTTAAAGCTGTAACAGAAATATGATCCATTAGGTCGAACTCTGAATCCACTGTTTGTTACAAGTTTTAGCTTTCTGAATCTGAAAGAAGTAATTCCAGAGAAGACCACTTACAGGAATAAAGCAATTTTTAGAGTGACATAATGTTTTAAAGCTGGGGCAGTGAAAGCAAACAGACTAAATATGACAACCTGAATCACTTCAATACTCAACATCCTTCTCCACATTATCAGAGCCCCAACTGTCAACAATGCAACCTCCTGTTATGGGTAAGTGACATCACTGCTGTTGGTTCCGAGTGCCAGTTCTGCAGCATTCACACCTCACAACAACACAGATACAATCTCTTCTCTCATCCATAAACATGTACACCTACTGAAAGCACAGCATATAAACCCACTTTTTAGTGTATACAGACAAATATTCTTGCAAATGTCTACCTATGTTAAATTACTGCACAGATAGATGAACATGTGTGTGTGTCACCAAAGTAGTAAATGCTACAATTAACATTTTTAAAGGTAAATCAGAGATGGATGGAGCTACTCCTATGCGTTGTGCAAACACCTTGCATTACCTTGCTTGCTTTTGATGGACTCTTACAAGTCCTTTGTGAAGTATCTGGGGACGGACATTCAGAAGTTGGCTCTGGATTTTCAGAATCAGGTTCTACAGAAATAAAGCAGAGATAAATATCAAAGTGGGAAAATAAATCTTTTGCAGAAATCACAAAGCACTTTATATTTGACTTTAAAAGAGCTATTAAAGCTGTTGTTAGACCATTGAATATGTCAAGTGTCATACAAGGTCATCTGCTTACTGACCTTCTGTAATTTC